TTGAATGGAAATAACTTTTTCAAGTAAACTATTTCGATATTCGAACAAATAAGCCTACTTTCAGCGATTAATTCGAAAAAATGTCACTTTTGACCTGTAGCGAAAATCACGTGACCCCGATTGAGTAGGCCATTTTTCATCTTGTTTGAAGCAAAACTTAACGTCCAACTCGAATTTCAAAATAAGTCATTGATAAAAGTTTTTCCCATATGATGCCGACTTTATGAATGACACTGTATATGGGCGTATGGCACCTGTTTTGTGCCTATTTACCAACTCGTTGATATAGTATTGATATGTTAGTAAAGTACCGAGATAATGTATTTTCCTACATTCTGCAAGAAATATGGAAATATAAAACTTTAGGAGTACCTACCTGAAATCAGCACCAACATGGTTTTTTAAAATGCAACCCTATGTCTTCTGACCCCCCCATTGGAAATGTTGAAGTAGGAATCCAGTTTACTGACCCAATTACAATTTCGAGTATGTTTGAGGGTTGCATAAAATCAAAACATAATTTTGAATTTCATTTCCAACATATTCCTATCGAAATTTCGATTTTTAGCCGATACTGAATGAAGCAGTTTCTCTAGTTTGCAACCACACTTATTTTGAAACTGTGTGAATACGGCATAGAATCCAAATTTCTTTTGGCGGCTTGTGTGAAAACACTGGCATAAAATAGCAGATCTCAGCTGTATCAAAAAAAAATTGGATTGTTTAACACATCATGTCATCTTGAGCAATAATTGGTACGTTGAAAATAAAACGAATTTCAGAATTGCATTTTGATTTTATACAACCCTTAAACGTACAAAAATCTGAAATTTGATCAGTAAGCTGGATTCCTCTTTACATCAGCTTTTTTAAGGCGAGGGTGGCATTCAAAAAAAACATGTTGAGGGTGGTTTCAGACCCTGAACAGATTAACAGGGTGACATTTAGAAAACTTCTCCCGATTTCATTTTCAAGAAACAAACTTGAAATGAATATGTTCAACCCACTTGGTTCAACCCGTTAGAAGTGGTGATGTTATATACCCTCAGAATCGCAAATGGAAAGGTGGGTCATTTGGCACATGATTTCGAAGGGCGCTCAATTTTCTTCCAAACGGTACCCCAATTCATCATTTTCTATTGAATACTTGTATATTGTTTCAAAGATATATTCTCATCAAAATGATCGTTATATCATCAAATCAACAAAATTTTTATAGTTGAATCAACATCGACATTATTATGGATCGACATAATTTGTTCTTGGGAAAACCATATATTTTGTTGATGGAATTGATATTATACTATTGATTCAATCAGACTACATTCTTGATGTAAACAAGCTGCTTTCATGAGATAATCATGTATCTGGTTGATTCAACAAAAAATTGCTCAGTCCAACGAAAATAATTCGAGCATAAATAATTGGTTGATGCAATCGATCCTTTTTTTCCGTGTGACCTCTTCCTCCATTTGGGGATTTAAGGGTAACATCAAACCCCTCCTAGGGGCTGAAATCAATAATTTCAAGCGTCCAAATGAAAATAAAATCGACCTGCTTTCTCGATTTCTCATATTATTCTCTGGAAGGAAGATATTGATACATCAAAACGTTGACGTAAGGGAATCTTCAGATAAAAATTTCACCTTTCTGCTAGCGAATTAATTCCAGTCAAATCCTCCACACTGTTTAACGACGTCGTTTCAACAACTATCGTTCAGAATGTCTATCTCATTTATTATGAACAATCTGACAATATTATTCTTACTGCAAGTCGTTTACGGACGACATCGGTATTTATGAGTTACAGGTGGTTGTATTTCGTTGTTTTTCGACAATAATGAAATTTTGCATACACTATGAAATCATAGTTTCCTGTGTCTGAATTGCCCATTAGGAATGAGCTTATTTAAATCACGAAAAAAATTTACACCTCTAATCGTGATAACTACGGAAGAATTGATGCCGTTTATAATGTTGACTATATTATGTGTTTTCAGATGTTTCCGTGAAATTTAATTATAAGGAGAATAACTTAATTCTGTGTCAGTGAAGCCAACTTTCGTTCGTATTGTGGAACATAATTGATTTTCAGGCAGTTACACGGGGAAGAAATGTGAAAGAGAAGACAGGATGATTAATGCTCAAAAATTATAATTCATATTACAAGAGAGACGGATATTAGATGAGATGGTTATCAGATTCTTGCTGGATATTAACAATTCTTCTAGTATGATGACTCCTGAACGATATTATGAAAATAACTTGTCCTTACATTCCTTTGTCAAGCTGTCTGTTCTAACATTTGACCCAAATATTCGATATATGATATCTTGATCACATTTGTTGAAATTGACAGAATTCTGGTGAAAATAGAACAGAACCTAACATAACATGTTTCCAGAGAAATGAAAACTGCATCAATTGCTGACAAAAAATCATGAAATCTATCAATCAAGATACTCCAATAGTAAGTATGTGATGGAACCTAAAATACAGACATACCTATATAGAAAACGTTTACAGCAGATGACACTAAAGGTCGAACGGCCTAATGAGATTTCTTTATATTTTTTAACTTTCTTGGTGGTCTTCATATCGAAAGTTGAATATTTACATAATAACATAGTGAATAGTTTTCTACTGCTGCACATGGACTAAAAGTATTTTCCAGAATATATTTTTTCAACTTCTCTCAATGAGCACACGAACGTTTTGTAAACGTTTAATCAACGTAGATCAGGTTGAATAGACGTTTATGGTTGAAGAATTCGACGTTGATATATGGTTGAAGAGAATAACGTTAAAACTAAACGTTTAATACACGTATTGAAAACGAGATATCCTAACGATCCATGAAATTCGTACATTCATAAAACGTTTTCCCAAAATGTTAGACAAACTCATGAGATAAAAGTTTCTTCAATATGAATCCTTCTTCATTTTCTAACTGATAGTGGGGAAAAAACGTGAATAAAACGTTATTTAACTACATTTTCCAGCCTTCATTTGACAAAGTTTATTATACCTTGTTGTTGAACTATTTTTCAACTCATAGTTGAACTGCTAGCAGTTATATAACGTTTATTCGAAACGTTTGTTGAACCCTTGAAATGATCGTTTTTTCAACGTCATTCTTTCAACAAGAATCATTTGCTGGTCAAGGAATAAACGTGTTAAAAATGTTTTTCAACAAAGTTTCTCCACCGTTATTTGCCAACGTGTAATTAATGTTGTTATCAAACTATTTTTTACATTATGGTAGAAGTGCTCACGGTTATGTAACGTTTTCTGTTAACGTTCAATGAACTCTCAACTCTGACGTTTTCCCAACGTTCATCAGTCATTAAAAGAAACAACGTGATGAATACGCTTTTCAATAACGTTCCTCAACCATTACTCAGTAACGTGTGATTAATGTTGTTATCAAACTATCTTTTACATTTTGGTATAAGTGCTTACGGTTATGTAACGTTCAATGAACTCTCAGAACTAACCCCAATTGGCACACGTGCGTTTTCTCAACATATTATCAACGTAAAACAAGTAAGATAGACGTTTATGGTTAAGCAGTTCAACGAAATATGGTTGGGTTTTTCAAAGTTGAATCTGAACGTATCGAAAACTATATATCCTGACGATCTGTTGAGATATGCATTTATAAAACGTTTCCTCGAAACGTTAGTCAGACGTTCGAAATAAACATTTCTGTAACGCGAATCTGTCAACATTTTCTGACCGAGAGTGGAAGATGAACGCGAATGAAACGTTTATCAACAACGTTTTTCGACTGCTATTCGTCAATGTGTAGTATAAGTTGTCGTTACTATATTCTATATCATCCGTCATTTGAGAACATGTGTTTTACATGCATACCAAATTACTTTCCATCGATTCGGCAAAGTCCTCACGGTCATATAACGTTTATTCAAAACGTTTATTGAACTCTTGAAATGAACGTTACTTAGGTATTTTTTCCAAGTATTCGATAACGGTGGAAAAAAAGCGTGTAATATATGTTTTCTAACAACGTTAGATAATCGAAAATAATAATAAATTCATTGTCGGCACAAAAATAACGAGAAGTAATCTAGAACCGAAGATTCGACGACTCAAAATTGATCCGAAGTAAACGTTGGAAAATCTTATTTTATCAATTTGTTCGAATCGTCATTTTTGAACGTCAATTAAACCTCGAATAAACCTTCATTATCGACGATACTCAAGTTGAAAAAACATTTTTTCGTTGAATCAACGTTTGAGAAATACTCCCTATAAACGTTTGGTTTCAAACCATTCAGCAACGTTTCTTCAACGTCATTGTGCTCATTGTGATTTTTAACACGCCTGGCAATAATAAAGTTCCTATAGAGAAACCGTGTGAATCAAATTCATCGTTGCCAAGAACAAACCCAGCAAGAGAAGAGTGTGGCAGCTGCTCCTTCTAGCCTAGAACTCACCCCGCCGCACAGCAATACCTATACCATTATTGAAACCCCACTCTTGAGTATTAGTTTCTTTTATAAAAACCGTCTCAGTTCTACCATGGCATTTCTAGTGATTGATAAAGTTCCTCCGTAGTTTTAAGTTCCTCATCCTTCCCTCGAAACAATAATTAGCTGCTCATCCCTCTTTGCTCAGATCCTGGATACGACATTTTCCCCACCTACTCGAGTATGGGATTAGGTGTTGCAAACATTAATTCCTTCAGTCGGGCCAAAAATTGGACTCATTCGAAGAAGGGGTTTGCGCAATACGAAGTGTATGGCAACGTCGCTTCTCGCAATGCCCCATGCCCAAGGTTTCTCTATAGGAAAATTATTTTTGCCACACGTGTATATCTTGTACTAATCACTTCAATGAGAATTATATATACATGCCTACACCTACTAAAAACAAAGGATATATCAAAACACAATATTGATGAACATGAGATCTGATGAAAAAAAGATTCTGCATGCCAATTTCCTTTTTTCTGAATTCTCGAATTTACTTTTCGATCAAGTTCCATCTGGGACTTGGTTGTGTCCCTTCGCAATGGACATGATTGAATCTGAAAAAATGAGAGTTTTGTATTAGAATGAACACACTGACTCGCATTCAGAAGCCAGGAAATTTTCCATTATTGTCTCCTTTAGTTCTCAAACTGAAATCACAAGAACGTTCCAAAAAGAAGCCAATTTTCATTGGCCGATTATTATTGTCATGGCAGTAAGTACAAGGAGTAGGAAGAAAATCGCCAATCAAATATTATGTTCAACGACATTATCTGAAGTTTTGTATACCTTCACTCAACTCTTATTCGTATAATTCTCCATTTCGTACTTCTCGGACGTAACTTTAGATTCCATTGAGATTATATTTCAATGAATAATGAATGAACTTTCAGTGCCATTACTCTGACCTTTTGTTAACCGTGTTTGGTTATGTCACTTGATAAATTCGGATCCAGACGTCACCAAACAGTTAATGGAAGTAGGAATGTTTCTAATGAATAATTCAAAATTTCTTGTACCTAATGAAATATTCGAAATCTGAATGTAAACTGTGTTTTTTGTTTCAGTTGATGATTTTTCAACTATAGGTTTTCAACTTCTAATCACATTCATATTATTTCTTTGAAACATTACAAGATCGAGAGGTTCTCAGGAACGTTCCTGAGTCGATTGTAAGCTGATGAAAGATAAGCTCTATCCTCTATCAGCATCATTAGTAACAACAGTTGCGCCACGACAGTATTGAAAATCGATTCACGAAGAAAACTCTAATAATATATGCTCCGAAGCATCAGAGTTTCAATGGTGTAGAAGGACAATCTCGACTTCAGAGTCATCTAGTGACGAAGACGAAGGGATAAAGGGTATATCTATACTGGGTGACAATGACTCATGATATTCTCCCCTTTAGGGATATTGGATATTGGTGGCACAGGTAAGTTTTTTAAATCTACCATTCAATTGGTATCGGATGGCATAATTCTTATCTCGTTATCCAATGCTCACGAAAGTGATTGGCACAGGTGTCGTTGGATGATCTACAATGTTGTTACTTTTCTTTGGGACATAATAATATATCATTTCCTTATCAGTTGACGGTAAAAATCTGCAGTAGAAGAGCCTACTATTATGGAAACTTTGAACGGGAATATCTTCGTAATCGTTTGAAATAACCCGATCAAACCCAAAATTGTTGACTTCGTTATAATAATATCTAACCGATTATGGAATGACATACTGGGTGTTCCATTCGAAAATCAAAAGTTGATGTCATTTTCCAGAAAAACCTGAACGATGAAAACATTTCCTAAAATGTGAGAAGGTGCTCTCTAGTGAGCATATTCGATGTTTCCAAATGCAGAAATATAGCTAGAAAACCAAAGAAGAAGAAGAACATTTTCATGCCCAGGGTTCGAATAATATGTGATCATGATTATGCATCAGCCATAGTGACCGCAGAGTTAAATGCATTAAATGGAGAAAAAAATGAAAAAATTAAGCAATTGGAAAAAAAAGATGAATTTTTTCACAGTTATACAAATTCTCATGTATAGAATAGAATTTAATCTGACCAAGTTACAATTCATATGTTTTTGGCAAGTCACTGGAAGTACAAAATGTTTTTCAAAAACAATTACAGAATAAAATAAAATATACACCTGAGCTATCACAAACATACATTCAACATTCTCACAAATCTAACAAATCTAAAATATAAATTTTGCTGTTCTCGAAATGTAATCAACTCAAATTATCGAGAAGTGGAGGTGTTTTCAGATGTTCATCAATAGAGTAAAAACAATGGATCAGCATGTGTCTTTTCAGATTCAATTTGAAGCAGTAATAATTGAAAATCTTGAACTCTTGAGGCAGGAAATTATAGATTCCAATATTCAATGAATTCATTCGGGATTTGTTGAGCCTATATCGGAGAGCCCTAAAGTCGTTTGCCCCACGAGTTTGGTACTCATGAAAATAGAAGTTGGCACACAAAGTTCTTTTATTCTTGTGAATTTCCAGAAGAGTAGAGTAGATGAACAGGGAAGGGACAGGCATAATAGAGAGTTGTTTGAGAATTTGTTGACAAGGGTCCCTGTATCCTGCACCGGCAGTAATTCTTATCGCTCTTTTTTGTATTTTGAAAACATTACACGAATGCACAGAGTTTCCCCATAACAGTATGCCATAATTTATGTGTGTATGAAATAAAGAAGAGTAACAGAATCGCACAGTAGGTACTTTCGCAGAGTTGATTTTTATGTTGCGCAACAGAAATATTGTGGATAATTTCTGACATAACTGCTCAATATGGGATGACCATGATAGTTTTTCATCGATAACTATTCCTAGAAGCATGACACTCTCTTCCCTGCCCGCAATTTCATTAGCAAAGACCACTTCTTGGGTTTTGCTATTATTCAATTCAAGGTTTGCATTAAACCAGTTTTGTGCTCTATCCAACGAATCGGCCATGGTGAGACTTTCGGCATGAGTATTCAGGGTGGCATTGAAATAAGTGCAAATATTTCAGACTCTGAGGAAGCTCGACGTGTACTATGGAATGGCACTAATAAAAAAAATTCAGGAATCAAATTAAAATTTTAGGTTAGACCCTTTTTTCCACTCAGAGTTCTACCCTGTAGCAAATCTGACGTCACCTCTGTTCAAATTTTCGTGTGGTAAGCACTATCACGCGGATTTCAATCATTTGAATTGTTTCAAAGTGGCGTACTTGATTTTTTTCTCGTATTTTGTTCAATTTTCAGGATGAAATTTCTTGTTAATTAAAAGAATTAGAGAAAATATGATATCATGGAAATATTCCAAAGACTGTAACATATGTGCTGAATATGTGCACTCATTTCAATCGAACCGAGATAAAGAACTATATCGAAGCTAGCGAAACACGCCTCCTACTGAAAATTGAAGAAATAAAAAACCATGTATCCCAATTAGAAAAGGAAAATAGCGAACTCAAGTTAGAAGTGGAATATCTCAAAAGAGCCCAGAATAAGAAAAACATTATAATATTCGGATTAAACAAGAAGAAAGAAGAAGTTGTAGCAGATACAGTGTGTAAAGACCTTAGTGACTTACTAGGTGTGAATCTCGATAAAAGTGATTGCGGCGACGTTTATCCTTTGGGAAAATCGGATAACTGCCCCATTAAACTTGAGTTTGTTTCAAACCTAAAGAAAAAAGAGGTATTGAAAAATTGCAATAGGCTGAAAGGTAAAAACATCTCCATTGCTCATGATCTCACGCCCATGCAGAGAAGCGAGAATAAAATTTTGAGAAGACACCTCTTCCTTGCTAAACAGGAATCGAGCAACAAGGAATGCTTCATAAGGGGAAACAAACTAGTTGTAGATGGATTATCATATGGAGTTGATGATCTAGAAGAAGATGCCAGTCCATTAATCAAAACTAACAGTGCACCTCCTACCCCAACAGTGGAATTCACTGGAAAGACTGCAGATTCTCAAGGTGGCATCAGTACCCCCAAGAATTCTAAAACGAATAAATCCTTACAACAAAAAATACAATTGTCTAAAGCCACTCAGGAGAAACCGAGAACTCGCTCGGTCAATAAGATTTAGATAGTCCAATGTGAGCTACCTCAGTATATTTAGTAAGGTCAATGCTAATTATTTTATTATTACTGTTATTTATAATCTCTATATAACCTTTCTTAGTTTACTTCTGTACTATAATATTATAGGTTTGTTGTCCTGGACTTAATGCAAAAAAATATAAGTATACTACATCTGAATGTTAGGTCCCTCTCAACAGGTTTTGATAGTTTACGAGAATACATAGTCAAGCATGATATCGATATTGTCGCCTTGGGAGAAACATGGCTCAGCGAGCGGAGTAATTTAGATTTTGTGGCGATACAGGGTTATACATTTTTACATGAAGATAGGCGGGGGCCGGGTGGAGGAGTCGCCCTGTACTTTAAAAACCATTTCGATTGATCTACTTTGCTTTCAAATATCAGCCCCTTACTTGAACAGCTCTGGGTTACTCTAAAAATCAATCATAAAACTCTGGTTTTATCAGTTGTCTACCGCCCTCCCTCCGCCTCTATAACAAACTGCCTTGACGAGTTGGAAAACGCTGTAGTCAACTTTTTGCCTGACAGCGATATCTTTCTCATTGTTGGAGACTTAAATATTGACCTTATGAAACGTGATCGTAGGAGTCAGCTACTTTATAATTTTCTCGATTCTTACAATCTACTCCAGCTTATCAACTCTCCAACAAGAGTGAATGATGTCAGTCAAACACTCATTGACCTGCTTCTCGTTGATGATTCAAGGCACATCACATACATAGATGTTATAGATATAGATGGAATTTCTGATCCCTTCTTACAAATATGATAAACAAATAACCTATCGCGACTTCTCCCACTTTGATAACGATTCCTTTAACATGGATCTGTCGAATGTTGATTGGAATAACATTTACTCGTATGATAATGTGGATGATATGCTCTCATTCCTCAATACTAACCTGATTAATATTTTCAATCACCATGCCCCTTACCGTACATTCAGAGCGTCCAGTCCACCAAAACCATGGATAACGTATAACATAAAACAAATGCTAGAACTCAAACATAAGGCCTTCTCACGGTATAAGAGATTAAGGACATCGGGATCTTGGAAGTACTACAAAGATTTACGGAATTATGTTTGTGGAGCTGTTCGTCGAGAAAAAGCCGCCTATCTCAATCACATTTTGCGTCAGCAAAACTCCAGGACTACCTGGTAAACATTAAGATCTCTTGAAGTACTACGAGATAAAATAAAAACTTCTGACATACCCGTTAGGCTACAAAATCTAAACTCAATGAATGAACATTTCACAAATGTGCCAACTATAGATAAAACGGCGAGACAAAATGCTCTGATTGATACATACGCTATTCCTAAACGTGAACCCAATTTTACTTTCATAAATGTAGATTCTGGGACAGTCATGAGATATTTGAATAAAATTAAAAGCAATGCAATAGGATCTGATCATATTTCACTACGAATGCTACACATGGTATCACCATTTTTATTGGATCATATTACTTTCATTTTTAATTTTGTTATTTCATCCTCCATTTTCCCCTCCCTGTGGAAGCACGCCATAGTCCTCCCACTCTCAAAATGTAATAATCCTAAGGAATTTTCTGATATTAGGCCTATTAGTATTTTGCCCACACTCTCAAAGGCTTTTGAAAAGGTTCTTAAAGCACAGATCACTACTTTTGCTAACGAAACAGATTTGATAACTACACTGAGAAAAACTGGTTAATTAAAACGTCTAGTTGGTATTTTTTTAGTACCGATAATTAAAAATATTTGGAATGTTATTAACAATGACAACGTATCCTTATTTCCTACAAATGACTTTTCTATTTTTCGCCAATTATTTGTCATTAATGAAAATACTATTTGTGACAGAATTATCACAGTGTTGTCTATTCAGTCAATTAAAATTTTATATTGGGGTTGAAAAACCTCATTCTGGGGTTACTAACAACAGCTGACTATTTGCCACAACTGATTACACATTTATCGTAAAAGGTTTATTATTATTCATAGCAGAAATTGTTTAGCCATAACTAATAATTTCAGTTGTACTGCGTCGTTCGGGACCGCCTCACGTCTCTTCGGGACCCACCGGCAAAAATTGCATCTTGCATCTGTTTGTCTTTCTGTTTCATCATTTGAACTTGTATCTTAATAGTGGATAGATCGCACGGTCGTCGAGCTTAGACAAAATAAATAAAATAATTGTCTAGTGTAGCCGGGAGCGTCGTGTTCTTCACTGCTCTGTGTGTTTTCAAAACACTGTTTTGTGTTTTTTTGCACTTCGCGCTGAGCCATTTGGCATTTGGTGGGCAAAATAATATTTCACAGTTCACCATCGTTATCTGTGCGTCACTAGTTATCAGGTTTAGGTACCTATTCACAATTCAGTTCAGTTTACGACGGGCGACGTTGAGAAACGTCCAACCGACGTCACGTGTACACGGTGTATATTTATAATTCCCTCTCTTTTTGCTGAGCTGTGGCCTGTGGCACTTACGGTGTGTGATGTATTCCTGCTCACGATTCCATTGGAAATTGGAAGGAAAATGGCATACAAACTGTTATTATTAGAATGGGGCCTTGATTTCAATTGATATAAAACTATTAAGTTGAAAGAATAACTAAATTATATTTCAAACGTTACTAACTCACTTTGAATAGTAACTAGATTCCATTTCAGTCACAATTAAATATTCAATTTGCAACAACACACTCACTATTAACGTCAGAAGAAATGAGTAATTGCCCCAACTGGGTTAATTTGTTGTGATAACAAACATATATTGAAACAGTACTAACAATCTAATTGTCATAACTATGTATCTTGATTGTGGCAAATAAAACTTGGTATTATTCCTTGAAAAGGCTTATTAGTTACCACAACAATGTCGTAGATGACTCAACTAAACTTTTCATTTGAGGCAAATAGGCGTTTCCAGAAAAACAGAATTAGTTATGGCAACAACTAATGCTTGCTGTCCCCTATCGTACTAAAAATTTTTTCTGTGGTTACTAATTTTTTAGTAACGGCTACAAATTTTTTCCCTCAGTGTAGTGTTCAATCGGGGTTTCGCGCCCAATATAGCACTACAACAGCACTGAGCTTAATAACAGATGATATTCTGAAATCCTTGGATAACAGTAACTTAACTTGCCTCATCTTATTGGATTACAGCAAAGCATTTGACACACTTGACCCTACAGTTCTATGCAAAAAACTCTTGTGTTTCGGTTTTACAGAATCCTCAGTATCGCTATTAGAAAGTTACTTATCTAGTCGTTCTATAATTCTAAGCTCGCCGAAGAAGATATCAACAGAAATTTACAGTTATTGTTCGATGCCTCCTGTGCCCATAATTTGAAACTGAATTCGAAGAAATCCCAAGCTATGCTTTTTGGTTCTAAATGTGTGAGAAAAGAATTATGTGATTCTCTTTCAATCCAAATTAACAAAGACGTAATTCCCTTTGTGGATGCATGTAAGAATTTGGGTTTATGGCTAGATACTGACATGAGATTCACTATGCACGTCAACCATTTATGCCAATCCTCCTTCAATGTATTGAGACAACTTTATCCGAGTAGAAATATTTTATCTAAAAGAACTAAATTAAATCTTTGCGAATCCCTCATTTTTTCTAGATTGGCGTACTGTGATTGTATCTACGGACCTGCTCTTCTACAGACTGATTCTACACGTGTGCAAAAAATTCAAAATAGCTGTGTTCGTTTTTCATATGGTATCCGCAAATATGAACACATTAGTGATGCCTTTCATGACTCTGGATGGCTGAAACTGAAACACACGAGGGAAATACACCTACTCACTTTCACCCACAAAATTTTGACATCTGGTTCACCGCCATATTTACGTAATAAACTTTCTAAACTATCACTTAAAAAGTCTTCGCGCAACAAGCATTTGCTACTTATTCCTAGACATACCAAGTCAATTTTCACCCGAAGCTTTTCCTATAATGCTGCTAAGCTCTACAATACCATCCCTGTTGAATTCAAGGAATTCACTTTGAATAATTTTAAGAAACGGCTGAAATTGTTTTTCTCTGGGCGGCAGTAGTTTTTTCTTTTTTATGACGGCGTGACTTTTGATCTGGTTGTAACTATCTTATTCAGTGCATTAAACTGTACTGCCCACTTATACATTTATACTAATTTTCTGGTAATTATTCCGATAACCTATGTACAATTCTTAATCATAAATTCATTTTGAAAATTCTGTAATTTAGTTTCTTATTAATTATATTTAGGTATATCATTCTACCGGTTGGGTTTAAAAGCAGCTTCTTAGCTGTACCCCGCCCTTTCATCTATTTGTTTCTTTCTCTACCAGTTGTGAAATGATGATGATGAATAAAGACATATTATTATTATTATTATTATTATTATTATTATTTCGAAAACACCGTGTATATTCAAGTGAATCAATACTGTGTTCTACTTCGATATAAGCCAAACCGTCAGATATCCAGGGTGTCCCGAGATCACATAGAAAGATTTCAACCACAGATTCTAGAAACAAAAATGGTCAAAAAAGTTTATGCAAAAGTGCAGCCGCATCTGTGAATGAAATAGTAGATGATATTCGAAGGATTCCAGGATGTTACTTTTGAAAATTTGATATAACAATCGAACATAATGAGTTTTATAATTGGACAACTGAAAAGTGCTGTATTCAGATATTCGCAGAATTCTTTAACATACCTATCAATCTTCGTGGAATCTTCTGAGTCCTCCGGAAGGTATTGCAAGTCCGCACCTTGTACGTCGTCTCAACGAAACTCCTCCTCAAGAATATCCTCTTGATAACCGCAGGTACATACTTCGAATTCAACTGCCTTGAGGATATCACCTTCTCCAACTGACACAGAAACTCCGCTTGCTTCTCCAACTTTTTGGCGCTGCCCCTCCGCTGCAGCTCCTGGATATCGCTGACAGCAACGCCTACCATGAGGTTCATGAGGACGATGCTGGTGAGGATGATAAAGAGGAAGAAGACGACGCGGGAGGTGGCTGGAAGGAGGGAGGAGGATTCAGCAGATTCCAGGTAGAGGTCGCCGTATTCGAATTCTCCCATCATCATGACGGTGGTTTTCACCAGGGAACGCCAGGGGTCGCTGAATTGGCCCAGATTGTGGTTGTGGAAGAGAATGGAGAAGCTGAGGGTGAAGCCGATGAGGAGACAGACGAAGGCTAGCAGAACCTTGAAATGATCAGAGATTGGTATACATACAGCATTCTATGCACGGTATAAGTATTTGATGTTTCATAGTGAATTTCTCTGTAGCTATACCTGTCAAGCACGATAGAATTGCAACATGGTGTCTCATTTATGGAATCAACGTTAACATGGTTACTCAGTCAATTCTATTTAGAGAAATCTTCAACATCTACAATCACATTTTTCTTTTAAACTGTGATGAACTAATCTCTGGTAGAAGTCCATGTCTGATCAAAGTGGAGTGGAATTTTTCAAGAGGAAGATGGAATGCTCAAAGTCATCGTCACTACTTTATTGATGAACTAGTCATTCACTTTATTCCTAACATGTTTGTTTCTTTCAAATATACTTTCTGTTATTACTCAATTAATACATTAGTATGATAATATATCATTATTTCAATATGCAGAAGTTCATGGATGAAACGGTAGGGCGCTGTACTGCCTTAAGGTTCACTGAAATTCCAACGCATGGGTTTTGTCGAAAGTATGAGGCTTTTTTTCAAACTCATCAAAATGTAGAAAATAATCAAAAGTTGCAGAATTATGGAATTCAAAAATTCACCTATAGAATTGGCCTTTTTACGGTCCTGGTATACTTATAATTTCGTGTGGTGCAGGCCTTTCCACATACCTCCTACCTCTTTGTTCGTCCAAACATCTTGTGTCACGACACATTCGTTTCAAATTAACGAACATTCGCAGGTAACTAAGATTTCTCAACGAAAATTTTTACGTGTACAAACGAAACACTGCAGCTGCACTTTGGCAATACTCGTCATAATTCAAGGGCATGTTAACAAATTCATTATTTCTGTAAACTTAATTGCAACATATATAGGCCAGTTGTTGAGACGTCTACATCAACAATTAGCTGGTCATTTGAATCATTATTATGTGTGACTCTAGTGATAGCGTATGTTTAGTGTATCTTCGGTTTGTTGTCGAATTATTGTGAATCGTGCTCTTCACTTTCCCAGGTTGTTATTTATGATGACAGGATTGGATATGGTAGATGAATCCTTATTCAATTATAATAATATTGAGTAAGTATCAATCAACCTACCCAGTGTTTCAAATTTCATCATAAAATAGATGTGTTTGGTATCTCATAACCTTATATACCTTCAGTAATCGTAATAATTGGAGTGACTCTACCTCTCCAGAAAGATATAACTATCATCATGTTTAACCCAGTCGTTGCTATAAAAAGTAATCTTATGTCATAAAAACCTGTTCCAATTATAGAAATATCAATAAAATTCTAACTACAGGAATATATGCCTGTGCCAAAAAGATAATGTGAATTGAAAAGCTTCATATATATTATCACGTTATCAGACTATATTGACCAAGTTATATGAACTCATGCAACAGTATTTCGTTTCTGATACAACTGAAAGAACAATTTTGACATTAAGAAAAGCCACTGTTAATTGATGGAACATTTTATATTTCAGGAGTACCTCGCAACGAGGAATGCTTCCCTAATAAGATCTAGTTGTAGATAACACTTACCAGCCAGTGAGCAGTCACTCTGGGAAGTTTTACCATGGAAGAAGAGAGGTTAAGAAGATATTATTGTGTCATTCACAAAATTGTTTCTTTGAAATCTAGTATGATACGTCTGTTTTATATAGGTTACGTTCCGTAAAATCAACTTGGTTATTTCGGTTAGTAGTTTTTCGTTCCGTAAATATGAAATATTCGGTTGGTTCCTGAAAAAAGCTTATTTACGGAACTCGGTTGCTTAAAAAGCGGTATATTCACTGTTACCAGAACGACCGTGGATTTTCTCTGGTAAGTTCGGTAAGTTTGAGTTGACATTGACTTGTTTAGTTTTCAGTTTGATTCTTTGATTTGCAAATTACAACGAAGAACAATATTCCCATTTTAATTGTCGAGTTGAGTTTCAATTGAGGTAAATTAATAATATTCGATATATCTTCAGTTCGATGACGTTTTTGTTTCTATTCCAGGACACTACATCTTTTGCTTGTGCTCACTGTGCATAAAAATCAGGGACTTTTGGGTGCCATAATTGAAAATCAAATACTGGAAGAGCATGAATCATGAATGTTGAAAAAACTATCAAAACTATAATTTGATTAATGACTGGCATTCCGTAAATAAACCACAATCGTAGTCACCAGTAAATAACCACTGTCAAGATTGTTGGTACCGGCCCTGAAAGCATCGGTAACCTCGGTTGATTAACGGAACATATCCGTGATATGGTGGAAGGGTTACATCAATAGTGTTACTATGACTTTCAGATCCAGACCGCTAAAAGCCCTATACCATCCCCACCAAGCCCACCATATCTATGCTCGGTATTTCCATCAGCAACACTCTTTCATGGGATAATCATGTCAGATCCATCGCAAAAGCTGCTTCACAAAAACTTGGATTCTTGTTCCGTGCGAAAAGCTACTTTACACCTCAACAGCTTCTCATGATCTACAAAGCGCAGATACGGCCTGTTCTAGAATACTGTACCCACATATGGGGTTCAGCACCAAAACATACGCTGATGCTCTTAGATTCCAACCAGAGAAGAGCCATTCGCCTGGTGGGTGACGCCACACTCACTCACTCTTTGACATCATTGGAACACCGTAGAAAGTTCGGCGACCTTTCACTTTTCTATCGATACTTCCACGGGAAATGTTCTTCGGAGGTCTCTGCTATCATCCCTCCACTGGCAGTGCCAATCAGACGAACAAGACAAGCCCAGTCAGCACATCCTTTCGTTGTCAACCTCGAAAGATGTCGAACAGCACTTTATCAAGACTCCTTCATCCATAGAACGGCTAGGCTGTGGAATTCATTGCCTGTGGAAGTATTCCCAACAACATATAATCCTCAAAAGTTCAAAAAAAATTCCAATACCTACCTCTTGTCCCTATCCTCCCTAGGAACGCACGATGTTCTTTGAACATTATAGGGATTCCCTTTCGTGCGCTCCAAGCGATAAAAAAAAAAAAAGTATGTAACCAATGTCGATAATTGGCTATCACAGTCCCATAATTTATGTACACACTGTGCTTGCTATGGGAAACTCAATGTGTCGATAATGTGGTACTGGCCTTCTGCCAGGGAACTGAATATGATTGCTGGGTACCCAGCACTGGATCAGCTGCTGGCCGCAGTGTACTGATACACAGTCCCGCATATGGGACCATTTACTACTGACTGATGTCAGGTATAGAAAAAATATACTCAGTCATCAATACCCCATATCAAAATGTTTGTTATGTACAACATGACATGTACTGTACTTTCCCATTCTCCATGCAAGTACAACATGGCTATACACAGAAGGTGTTTGTAGATCACTGATTTTTGACACTTTGCCTTTCGGTCGATTCGATAATTCTTTGTTTTGGTCACAATAGTAAGGGTCTAGAGACAGGGCGCAACGAATGATACAGCGCGACAAACGTGCGAATGAGCTAAACGATAATGATCATGATTATTGCATATGGTAGGTATATCGTCAATACCCTTAATAATCGCTGAATCACGGGTAGGAAGGTAGCCGGTTGATATGGAACAGTTTTCAGAATACTCATTTATGGTTTGATCCTTATGGGTTCCACACGTACGTTGAGCAGAATGTACGAAACATTCAGATCCTTTCGAAATCTCAGAAAGCCGTTTTTGAAGTTTCATCCAACTGAGATAGCCTCATCGAAAAAAAGTGGAAAAGTGAATAGGTTTTCCAGTGATATCATTACAATTAGTACAGTGGAGAAGAATAATTGATGAAAGGAAAACAGAAATTCTCGACTGTAATGAAAATTTTGATTGATTACGTTGACTCTTCCGAAGAATTGAATTTTTCGAAAGAAATCAATGCGCCGGTTAGGGCTACAATCGATGCATTACGTAAGTCTTAAAAAAACGTGTAAACTTCCAATCTACTCCTCAGCGACATTGTCAACCTCAGGCCAATAAATCAATAATTTTGTCTAAACTTTCTCCATTCAGAACTATTGTTTTTTACGGTAATTAATCTTTCATAAGTCTTACTATACTGTATATTTTTTACCATTTTCGAGATATCTGAAGAAGGACTTCACATTTTCTCCAGACTCTCTGAGATGATTACGTCATTCTGAGTGTCCCAATTAATGAAACAATCCACCCAAGTTGTCTTCGTTGTATCAAAAACAAACAGAGAACACTCAGATAAGTGGAATTATCATGCTCGAAAGTTTGACCCGTAGGGCGGAAATGATATCTACCAACTCCCGCATATTGTTTTTTTTTTCTCGTTGAGAAATAGGGTGCATATAGGAGTAGGCCTCTTCGATGGTTGATTTTGTACATATTCAGTATAAACTTGCCATTGTATTATGTTACAGTTCACTAAAAATAATGAAAATTGTTATTTGATCCCCCATCACTGCGGGGATTAATTGTTGTTGCACCCTGTCTTTAAACGCTAGGTATTGCGGAGATATATGGAAAATGCTCTACAATGCTCTATTCTTCCTGGACCTAGTAACAAACTGGAGAAAGGGATCCAAATAGACATTATTCATGAAGGAGACTGACTTCTCTGATTCACAAATAAATATATAGCCTGATATAACTGAAGATTATTACCAAAAGCAAATGCTTTTAGTGGAATCAAATGGGAAACAGGGAAGAAGAACCATTGATGGAAGAAACAAAAATGTTTGACTGTAATGAGAATTTTGATTGATTACAATGATTTTGCCGAGGAATTGGATTATTTGAAGAAAATCGATGTGCCGGTTAAGGCTATAATCGATGCATTACTTAGGTCTAAAGAGAACGTTGTCAACTTCCAATCTACTACTGAACGACATTGTCAATCTCTGGCCAACATACCAATTTTGCCTTGACTTTTTCTCATCCAGAACTATTTTTTTCTGGGAATTGATATTTTATGAGTGTTCCAGTAGATTTCAAACACATAATTCTATGAACTTTCAACCGTTTTCGAGATGTATGAAGGAACTCACATTTTCTCCAGACTTTCCAAGATAATCACGTCATTCTGAGTTGCCCAATTAAAGAAACAATCCAACAAGTTTCCTTCGGTGTAACAAAATAAAACCAAAAATGCTCAGTACGTCTAATGAAAAATAACGTGAATATAGGGGAGAGCCAATTCGATGGTTGATTCTGTATATAGGTAGTTCAAATTTGGAAAGCAGTTATATTATGTTACAGTTCACAAAAAATGATAATAATTGTCATTTGTTTCACTGCAACGTTTTTCCCGCGCATCGTTGGGTAATCTGTGCCCACGCGGTAGCGTTCCCCCATCACTGCGTGGATCAGTTGTTGCACCCCGTCTCTAGACACTGGTCGAATGGCGGGTATTGCGAATTTATATGAAAAATGCTCTAGAACGCTCTACTTCTTTTCGACCCAATAAGAAACAGAAAAAAAAGGGATCCAAATAGACACATTATTCATAAAAAGGACTGACTTCTCTGATTTACAAAAAAAATATAGCCTTAGAAAATCGGATAATTACTTTTGCGCCAACTCATACAAAAACTCCTTTACAGCGATGTCCGTCGCCGGGAAACAAACTTTCTTTCTAGACGTCGCTTACACTTCGAAATAATTACCTTAACGACGTTCTGAAGCACAGCCGAGAACATGAGAGCATAATGTCCGAGACTTGGCAGCCTGCCAATTAGTAGCATCAATTCGATCCAGGCCAGCAGAACGGCAATACTCGTAATGTGCAACACCCATTCTGAAATGAGATTACCAGAAATTAAGTTTGTGATAAATATTATTGCTTTTGGTACATTTTCGACCATTATTCGAGCTCCTAAGATTTTTTCTGCATGAGGAGACCAAAGGCGGGGCTATCAACAGGGATGAAACCTCTCAGTACCATAATATTGATATATGATGGAAATGAAAATGCTATAGTGATTTGATCTATCATCCAATTTATGATTGATAGAATGAGACAGAATCGAGAGGTTCAAAGCTGAAGTGGACAAAGTAATTGATAGTGATGTATTGAGAGAGACCATCCATGATATTTTTGAAAGCTTATATTTTTTTAATCTGTCATGAACCAAGTCCTCACTAATAGTTTCAAGCTGTAGATGCAAAACTTTGAGAACATCAGTGAACCATGTCCACGATACATTGGTTTATGATGCAAGCGATAGAGGCCACGTTTATACCGTATGGGTAGTAGGTATGCTTACCAAGAAGATCTAACTAAATTCAGACCAACTGCCTTAGTTGACGCATGTTCACAACACGTATCTTCAGTTGACTAACGTTACCAACTTTGTTCTGACTTGATTATTTTTTTGAAGTTAGGTTGTGGAACTCCACTCGAATCAGTGAATTGGGAATAAAACCTTCGGGTAGGATGGGGAATTAGCTGAAATTGAATGGAATATAATTATGAGAACTCACGAAATAACTGCCACTTGCACCCAAGTCAAGTCAAAGCTATACACAAGTAGGCCAGAATGTTTACTTCGTCTTGGTTATCATACTATTTGAGTCTGGTACGCAGCAAAATTTGGTACCAAACCAAGCTGGTAACTTCACCAAGTATACAGCTCATACTAAGCTGACCAAGAGTATTTAGTCAAAATATAGTCATTAGTCAGCTTACCAAGACACGGTATAAACGTGGCCAGACAATCGAATTTTCATAGTACGGGACTAAAGTGATAAATTCAATCTAGTAAATGGTTTATTTCCGAAAAGTTATGATTTGAATGTACAGTCGTATTCAATAAAAAAGCGTACAAGTATTAAAAAGAGAGGATTTCGGGATCCCAGTTCTAGTTGTGTCAAACTGGCTCAGCCAATGCTTTGTGTTTTCGAGAACCTATGACAACTTTACTGTCAACATTTGGTGAACAATCATTTCCGATAACCCGTTTTATGCAGAATAGGATGACGTTAATTTCTCTCTGTTTTTTTTTTGAATGCGACTGTATTTGATTTGCCGTGGATTTTCATCAAGTAACAGTCGAGTCAATTCAAAATTCATAACCTTCATTAGCATTTTCAAGAGAAGACGTTTACAAATATCTGTTAACCCAGTAACGTATTGTTATTATTATATTTTTATTCGTTTTCTATAGGTGTCATAAAGCATATGTCATATATCACAAAAATAGATGATTGCGATGTTCTGTGTGATATCAATAATGTGGTCTCATCAATACGAAATAATTACTTCAACTACTGAACTATATAATGTGTCGTATCTATCCTGGAATGTGATTTTCACTGCATCAATTATTAGCTAACACAAAATTCGGAGAGAGTATCTGTAATAATTGGATATAGCGACTCATATCACACTTCCATAAATTACATTATAAATTAACGTACCGACGTGGAGAATGGTTTAATTAAACCGAATGTAATTGTTTGTTAGTGATAGTCGATTATTTGACAACTTTAATCAGGAATGCGAAGCTTCCACGAATAGTTACCTACAACGTGAAGAGTATACATGCTCTGCAATATTAGACTATGAATAATTATGAAGGGTATGCTAAAAAACAAAATGTGTCTCATTTCCTATGGTCATAGTAGATCACGTGATATATAATATGGGTTTTATCTCCAGGCAGGATGCTTCATAAAGTTAAGTGACATGTTGAATTCAAATCATGTTTTCTCTTTTATATTCATTGCATTTTCATCATGACTTCCGTGAGTAATTACGTAAATTCCTTAAACATTCCATCTTATATATGATTTCAAACACGAACTTTTCGATCATAAGCGCCGTTTAAACAAAAGCAGGGAGGCACGTTTCTTCCCCCTCTCTTTGAGCTCTCAAGATTGCCATAGTTAAAAAGTTTCAGAGAATATTGAAAGATCTTTTTTTTGCTACACATTTTTTATTCTATTTTCATCATATGAATGTCAAACTTGATTTCAATGCATCAGAGTATTCGTTTCATGTTTCAAATATTCATTGAAGGAAGATTGTTTTATATTATTTCGACAGAAATGATTTCGAAAATGTAGGTGTATAGGTATGAGGAATGAATATACTTTCTACTATATAAAATGAACTATCTGTTGTCAATTTCTGATTTATTTGTAGTCACCAACGTTTTTCAATTGTCTTCAGACAAATATTAACTGAGAAGGAAATGAAATTTTACTAATTTTCCAAGAATTGTCCAATATCTTCTCATATGTTAAATCACTCCTGTCCATATGAAAACAATACCATTTATTACATGCCTCATCAAGAATCCTGAAATTCTGTAGCACATGCTTCCAATTAGTTAAGTATCCTTCATTACTCGTTTCACTCACTTGAAACATGGTTTCGCATCTCATTAATTCAATTTTATTTGTTTGAAGTACTTACCCTAACTACATAGTCGACTGTAATCATTGTAATTCATGATATTTGATTACATAAAAACGAGGAAAAACGCGTGACGTAATCGCTCATGAATAGTCGAAAAATGTCTCAATCAAGAGTAATGAAGCAGAATTGACTGCACATTTCGCCAGTAAACTTGTGGAGACGACTTTGAGTTTTTTTCTCGTTGATCGTCATCCTCCACTTCGAGTATGGACTACTGCAGAATATATTTTTTCACGTTAAACTCGCAATCGATCTGTGAAGGAATGAATTGAATATAATCGGCCGATCAGAATTGAATGATTACTTGCCCAGCAAATGCATCTGTTTTATTTACATAACTGTTATATAACATCAACGGAACTTTTGTATATAAAATATTCACGTAAATATTCCATAATAACTCTAAAATATGTAAACGTCGTATTTATATAAAATATTCACGTGAATATTCCATAACAATTTTGAAATATGTAAACCCCATATTTATGTGAAAACTTACCGTACCTAACTATGATATGTAACTGATATGTGAAAATTTGCTATCAATATGAAAGTTGCTATATTATATAATAGCTACATGACTTTACTACGTTATCATATCATTCGTTTGGCAATACTGAGGATGTTTACTAGCGCTTACAGACAGGAGAAAAAAAAATTATCATCGCGGTGGGAGAGCGACTACGTGCGAGGCGAAGTTGCTTGAGCTTTAGTGCTCCACACCGGCGACCCGGGCTCAATGCCTGCGACTTTTTTCAATCTGTTTTCTGGAGTAATTTTCCAAAAAATATTCATTTTCGAAAGACGGTTTATTGAGGACGAGCAAGAGGTTAGTTTGTTCACAAGAAGTAGTCACCTTTCTTATCCAGAAGGGATATTTTCCTCACTTCCTGGGAAAGAACTGTGTATGAATTGTATGACGTCACAGGCCATCCCGCATCGAGCGCGTCATTGAAAATGCATGCATGACAAATCTATGAGTACCAGTCGGTGAGGTCGGTTAGGTACGATGTTATGGAAACCGTGAACCTTATAGCTTAGATAAGATTGAATTTAGAGTGAGGCCTTCGGACTATCTGCCCCCACACCGCGACCTTTCCAGATCTATTGTGTCTGCCCTCGAAATCGTCTTCTCTATGAGACTGCATAGACTAGCTTCCAGATCCCTTATGTAACTTTGGGCTCTTGATTTTTGCTCACACAGCGTGAGGAACCTTAGTCTTGACAAGCCCTCACAGTGGCAAAGTATGTATACTGCTGTTTCCTCCTATTCCTGACAGGACCTGCACAGCAGTTTTTCAGTCAGACCTACCGTACTCATGTGTTTGTTGAGCCTATTTAGTTTCTGGCTCAGTAGATATTCTGTGAATGTTGGCGATGGTTTTTTGATAAACTCTTCTGCCTGTCTCATTCCTGGCAAGTTGTTCCACCATTGAGATTTGGTTTGCATCCATGATTCGATACTCGTTCTTGAATAACCTTTCGCAATACCACAAAATTGTTCTGGGCCATTCAGAGCTCTGTTTCCTCCTGCTTTGGCAAGTGAGTCTGCCACTTCATTGCCCTCGTATCCTCTATGTGCTAGTATCCATGCTACAGTCAGTCTGTTCTGACTGCCCAGTTCATTTAGGGGTTTTCAAGCAGTCCCATAAGCTTTGAGTTAACTTGCATTGAGTTAACTGCTTCAATTGCCGCCTGGCTATCTGAATAGATTGAAATGGCTTAGCCTTCAAACTCTTGCCTTATCAATTCCTTTATGCAATGATGTATTGCAATAATTTTTGTCCGAAACACCGTCGCGTATTTGCCGATGCTTTGGCTTGGCCCCATGAATACCAGCTCCTGACCCTTCCTCGGTTTTGAATGCGTCCGTATAGACAGCAATGTTTGTATTGAAAGGAGGTCCTTCCTTCCATGCCTCACTGTTCGTCATACTCATTTCAAAAGTTTTTTCAGAGGTATATCTTGGAATTATGCCATCTGTTGGCATTTCCATGTTGGGGTCGCTTTCCTACTCTTTATATAGCTTCCTGCAGTCTTTACCGTGTGTGTTGCTTATGGGTGCTTGACTTCTCAACAATCTCCTCACGACTGTTCTGGCTTCGCGTTGAATGTATATTTGTAGTGGTGACAAGTTCAAGAGGACCTCTAAAGCGGCTGTTGGAGTGGTATTCATTGCACCAGTGGCGCTCAGGAAAGCTTGCCTTTGAATGGCACTGAATCTTCGAATCACTCCAGCCAGTTTTGTGCCTGTGGCCACCAAACAACCGATCCATATATTATCATGGGCCTGATGACACTGGCATAGAGCCATGTGGTCATTTTTATTTGCAGTTCCCAATTTGTTCCACAGATTCGTCTGCACAGGTTGAAGGCTACTGTACTTCTTTGAACAAGTTTCAGTAGGTGTTGATTTTATGTTAGCTCATGGTCAAAAATAACTCCTAAGTATTTTGCTTCCAGGGCAAACGGAATATTTACCTCATTGAGTACTGGTGACCTTAGTCCTTCCAGTACTCTCTTTTTCGTGAAATTCACTAAAGTGGTTTAATGAGGGTTCACTGTGAGTTTAGAGATAACCGCCAGATCGTCGGCGTATCCTAAGCAGTGATAACCTTTGGACGATAGCCTCTTGATCAGTTCGTCCATTGGGATGGCCCATAGTAGGGGCGATGATACTCATCCCTGTGGGCATCCCCTTTCTGCTCTAGCTGTCACCATACAGCTCAGTGAACAAATCGATTGACGGAATTATCGATGAGGAATTGATTACAAAAATTGTCTAAAATGACCGGTAGAAAAAGATAGATACTATGATACAACAAGAAGTTCGAATATCTCAGGAAACCGCTGTGTAAAGTGCAAAAATACCATTAATTTACCTTTGATCTCGAACATTATCACACTCGCTTTGCTCGCATGTTGAAGTGTCTCGATCATTAATCGCCCTCATTGATACATTAATTGGTTGAATAGCTATTTCGTTATTGCAGTTCAGTCAACGATGGCCTCTCAATTTTTGTGTCAAATGTTTCTGATTTGATTATCGAATCAATATACAAATGCAACGAGAGGTTAAAGAAAAAATAATAATCTTCTCCAACACAAGCGCAAAAAAATAGAATATAATAATTAATCATGGCCTACTGACTACATCAGAAGATATCATAGATGATAGATAGTGATTTGCAAATAACTCAAGGACACATGAAGATATCGAACTGCGATTTGCGTCAAAATTTAGCTATTCCAATGCTCTTTTAGGGTCAATGACGCCAACATGCATGTATTATCCTATTTGGATTTTTCGAGAAAATCAGAAAACATCGAATAGTTGGTAAACGACGACCTCTATAAAACGCGGTATGAACTTGCCATCGTGAACGAAGTCTGTTTTCAAATTAGTGTGAAACTATCTTCCAGAGAAGCCCAAGTTGGTTGGTTGGTTGGTTGGTTGGTTTTATTAGCGGTATGGACGATACAGCAGTTCAAAAAATATTTCTGTTCATAAGCTTTCCTCACGATTATTACCCAAGACACGAATGAAAGTCTGGAGTAACACAACGATGAATTATAATGATCTTATCATTTCCGTTCCCAAAAAATCTCTATACACAGCGATTCTGTGAGATAATTCGAATTTCTCGTTGTATCATAGTAACCCCTACCGGAGATTTTAAAAACTTGAAGATATTTATGTTATGTTTATTCATTTATGCAGTATGTTGTCACCTGAAAAATCATGAATCCCTAAAAATTCGTATCGATCATAGTCATGACACTATAGAGCTGTATCTAAGATGCATATTGGATACTGTCTGTAGGTTAATCGAGGAGGTGATACATTCATTATTCCAAATTTTTTGGGATTTTCTCTCCTCGTTTCTATAAAATAAAAATATGAATATTATTTAAACGCAGTGACATTTTGGGGCAAATCATCTGATTTGTCCTTACTACACGTATATTGAAATAATATTCATATTTTTATTTTATAGAAACGAGGAGAGAAAATCCCAAAAAATTTGGAATAATGAATGCATATTGGAGTTGATAAGGCGAACAGTGAGTTTTTCAAAAATTGTGTGAACTATTTAGGACCCAAATGTTACAATACTCTACCGTTAGATATAAAATTGTTACAAAAATATAGATTCAAAAAGATCTGCAAAATACATATTTTCCAAAATTATTCGAACTTGTATAATAATATTTTCTTAGGATAATGTATATATTTTTAGTTTCTCCGTATACTCTAAAACATGTCATATAAACATAATATGAACAGTTCACCTCAATCTTTTTCACTAAAATATTCATGTACATTTCGAACATTTCCATTCAAGACACATACAGGTGTGTTTTTACCTAGGTGTCATAATTCTAATATATATGCAAAACATATTGTAAACATATATTATATAGATATTATATCCAAATAAAATAAAAAAAATTGAATCAACTTCCCGTCGCCGATAATACCACTACAATGTTGTACTATACTAAACTATGAGTATTATACTATTTTGTAGTGGTAATATTTGATAAAGTATAGTATTATATAATGTTGTAGTATCATTTGATGAAAGTTGTGACTGGCGCCTATTTTACTAAACGTTTGGTAATAACTACCATCTTTTTTTTTCAGTGTACCACTGTATATTCACGTTCTATAAAATAATCAAAAACTATGGAAATCATCTGAGTACAGAATAGTAATAATATCTATAATAATAATTTACCCAGTCCTCCTGAACTTTATGAGAAAAAGATAAATTATGGAGGATTCTTATAATTAAATTATGTATACTGTGAGCAATTTCATTCCTTATGAATTTTCGAGGTGTTTTAATTCTGTAAATTCCTTGAAAACATCCCGAGGACATTCAGGTACTTCGGTTTCTCAAAAAAAAAATACCGTAAATCTGACGATTTTATTATTTCGCTCGACTCGACCGACGTTATTATTATTACGACAGAGCGGAAAAATTAGTACAATTTAATTGAGTAAAATGGTAAAACCTCCACTTACCGCTTCTATTCACGTCATTCGCAGTAACGGCTACGGTTAGAGACAGGCAGGTACAAATTAAATTCATCCAGATTTCATAACGTTGAAAATAATTTCGACGCACAAGTATGCACTGCAACAGATGGAGGGACGAGATAAAAAATTCTGGCATAATAATTGTATGCTGCTGCTCTGCTGAAATATAAATTATCGGCAACCACGACTGCTCTAATGGATAGATAATAATGTATAGGGTGTGTTTCACTCGTGTGATATCAAACTAGAAACAGCACTTTTTCAAGTTCAAATTGAGACTATAATCAACCTCAAATTGGAATTGAACATATCCAAATTGGTGAACTAATTCAAAATGACAAAAAACACAATCAAATTGGGAATAATCATTTTCAAATTCAGATGAACAATTTCAAATCGGGAATTAACATTCAAGTTGATCATACATAATCGTCTTCTTATGTTTCACAACACTCGAATGGCAACTATAAGTACCTACGAAAGAATTTATATTTTTTATTTTCATTTATTTCAGCGTCACAACCGACTTCTCAAGCCTTTGTCAAATCTGACAAAAATTTTGAAGTAGGCTTTATTCAGAAACAAATCATAGAATTAAACGAATTTTATTTCTTCATCTGTCTTCTAAAAATATAGTGAACTTTATTTCAATCGATATCTCGTACCGTTCGCATTTTGAGAACATTTAAACATACATCCCAACCGTTTCAAAGGTAGGTAATGAAAACTGTATTCATTCATGGTAGTTGCACTGATTGTCATAATTTTACATCACATTATTTTGACAGCATTTAATACTTTTGTAAGACCATGGGGTGACTTTAGTTATGATGAGTATGCTTTAGCCCTCCGATATGGACATTCACTAATAATATGCATGTTTCATGCGATGGATGTGGAGAAGGAATGAATTTATCGCACGCACTAAATTGCAAAAAAGGTGGCTTGATAAAACATGTCCATAACTAACATCGTGATGGAATGGCGTTAACTTAGAGCCAGTTCTTCGAGAAGCTGACTCCATCATCAATGTTCCTGCCCTCTATGCTGACAAAAATTGAAAAATAAATAAATAGTGTCTGGAAAGCTGGAAGAGTTGCGTTTTTCGAAAACCGCATTAATAATGCCTACGCACCCTCTTATACTTCCCAAAGCTGGCATACCATAATCATGCAAAGCAAAAGCATAGAAAATATGAAAGTGCAGCAGAAGACATCATTTTCTCAAACAATAAGGTGGATTCGCATACAAGGGCAAATGTCCATAATCAGAGCCGTGTCCTTGCGATTGAGAGGAACGAGACGGCATATAAGATATCTACCGAGATATCTACCATATGAGTACGGGGCAGCTTTACTCATTTCATTCCATATTTGAATTTGTTCATCTTCATTGAGTTTTAATTCTACTTTCAATTATAATTCTATATTATTGATATCTATGTTGAAATATCCTCAAAAAATGCAACAGTATGCACATATATGCACCTTATGTATATGCACTTTCAAAGTCAATAACTCCGTGGAGTGGAATAGACATTTCTTGTACATGAAGTGCTAACAATATTTTGAATAACCCTATCAGCCCTATCGTTCACGACACGATCTTTCTAGGTACCCTGTATAGCCAATGTTCAAAGATTAATTTCCTGATGCTCTGAGATTAATTGATATGTGTATTATTCAGATACAATAGAAGGTACACAGTATAGTATATTCAGATACTAAGCTATAAATATGTGTTTATTACAGTCGTTTGTGATTAAAATCGTTTTCATATGGAATATTATATTCAAAATTGAGTGAAACTATCAATTCGACTACTGTGTTTTTATGGAATTTCGTGTTTGTTATCATTCATAAATTCGCTACCGAATCAATCAATTCCATATTGTCATGTTACGATTTGAAATTGTTTAGTTTCAATTCGGATTAGTAGTGACGTTTGAATTTGGATTTGGTAAATCCGTTCCTCATCATTCTGTCTCAATCTGAATTTGGTTGTTTCCATTTTGGGAAAGATTAGTCTCAATTCTTGATTAGAATTTGTTTATTCTCAATTCGAATGTGTTAAATCCATTCTGAGCCATTTTGGTGTAAATTGATGATGACTATTTCCATTTTGAGAATGAAGTCAATTTGAAGTTGAAGAGGTAGAGTAGATGAAGCCTCATAAAGCGAGATTCAAATATTAACATATTATGGCGAATGAGATCAGCTGATGGCTGAGTGATCTTGCAGAAGAAGAGCGATTATTTATAGTTCAAAATCAAATGTCTGCTCATCTCCTAATTGTGGCAATGAGGAAACGAGATGAAATATTTCATTTGAAACAAGTTCATTGAAGGAATATTTTGTTGAAAATCATTTATTTCAAATATTCGAATTGAAATTTAAAGTTCATGATAATAGTCAATCGTGTACCACGAACGATAAACTGTCTATCATACTCGAGCTTGCAAATTGATAGTTGAGGCACGGCCGAGGCCAGCAATCAGGCAGGACAATAGACAGTTTTTTGACGAGGTATGTACACATAGAATATTTGCGTAAACACCATATATTATTTACACAACACGCGGTCTTATTCATACGTAAAATTTATCGGATATTTATGGAATGGGATATCAAAAGAACAAAAGTAATTTCCACAAATTATCGTAAAACAATGATAGATGACGAGGTGAAAAACCACTACTTTATACCTTTGTAGCCCATAATGATTTGGATCGAGAAATAGACCGCCTTTAGCATAAGTTCAAGAATGATGCATTGAAAAAGGCGTTCGTTTATAATATCATATAATTACATCATGGGAGCAAATGTTCATTTCCTCCCATGTGTGATTAATGCCCTCAGCTACGCGTCGTGCATCAAACTTCACAGGCGGGAGGAAATTGATAACTTTTCTCTCTAGATATATGCATAACTATATTCAATTTTTTTTTTTCGTTCGTGAATTAGTCCGTAAAATATTATTTCAGAGGTCGGCGAACATATTAGCTAAATTAACAAGTGCGAAAATTGATGCTTTTCCGCACACGATTGCAGATGGCCAAACGACGCTCTGCGGAGATCGGCCAGCAATCGCATTTTTGATAGCGTGCGGAAAAAACCCTGAAGTTGATCTGAAGAAACATTCATTATGATATACTAGGAGATATCGGGGAGTTTATAATAGTTATTTATGTAATAAGGATCATAAAGACGATCATTACGGTACAAGTCGTGAATGTTATCGGGCGAGGCGTAGCCGAGTCCGATAACACGGCGTGTGCCATAATATGATTGTTTATGATTCGTATTACATACAAAATTTTATCTGATGGCATTTATATCAATACATTTTCGAAAAATTAAAAACTGCATTTTCGACATGTCACAATGACAACTATTTTTAAAGGAGTAAGTATTGTGTAGTTTCAAATATTAGTATGTGAGTGAGCTGTGCTTTGCCATTATATTAATATTACAAATTGTAGTAATTGTTCTTTTACCATTTATAATAAATAGTTTTGTACATAGTTATGCATTTTGAATAAACTTTTTTGATCAAACCATTACATGTTTTCCTTATAGAATTTCATTATGGTACTTAGTACCATAATGAATTTATTATGGTACTTAGTCCCATAATGAATTCATTATGGTACTTAGTCCCATAATGAGCTTCCTTATGTCATCAAAATTGAGTGACATAACGTTGTCATTATGACATGCCATCAGATAAAACATTTATTATTATTAAATATGCCAATGTCAGGATACTCCGCTGAAACTCAACAAATTCAACTTTTTCCGTCCTAGTGCAGAAAAGTGACTCTTTCGACACTAGAATTGGTGAGCAAAAGTGGACTTTCCTGCAAGCTTGTAGAAAATTGATTATTTGTTGGCACGAACCTGTAGAATTGCATGCGCCAACAGTCCTGAAGATGTCAAGATGACCAAATACTTTGTAACTGCTATAGGAATATTGAAATGTTGGTGGTTATAGTTATGTATAATCAGTGTTCCATGAATTCCCATTGAAACCGCGAATACGAAATAACCAAAAATCCAGAAATAAAAAAAATAACAAATTCGATCCCATTTCAGTATCAGGTAGAGCTCTGAAACAAAAAAAAATATATTAAATGTATCTGGGGATTCTCGGCGTTGAAAATGTTGCGATTATTTCGTCAAAATTAAGAAATTAAAGATGGCAAATCCAATATGGTGTACTTATGTTCTTACTATGCAATTGAAACTTAATATGGGGGTTCTCGGCCTTGGAAATTATGATTCCTCTGCCCTAATTAGAACATTCAAGATAGCGAATTCAATATGTCGAACGAGCTCTGTAATGAAGTGTTTTGATTACTCATGACACACGCTTTTATAAATAGTCGAGCTTGAAAGAACTCTGAAATAAATAGTAGTTCAGAGAACTATAGAGATATAATCACAGAACTAAAAAAAGTAGAAACTAAATGGTAGTTTGGAAAACTAAGAAAACAAGCTTTCATGGTTAGTTGAACTGTAGAGAAGTAGAAAATGAAATAATAAAAGTGTGGTGTTGAATATTTGACTAGAAGAATATCTTCAAGAAATAATGTATATAAATATAGCAATACAACGTCTACCAGGTCAGCTAGTATGAAATAATTATAGCAATTGAAATATTCGATTATACTTATTTCAAATCATAAAAGTGTATCTTTTACGAACAGTTATATATAATATATTCATTTTGGATTGGAGCAAACTAATATATCTATGCTATACCTTGACTGTGGTATTTGAATGATGTTATACCAGAATTACTCACCAATCAGTGGATGTTGTAGCACTTCAATTTTCTCATCTTCCGAAGCTGCGACAAGCAAGCTGGAGATCACTTCCATTTGTCTCCTGGAGGTTTTCGGAGCAAGAACGGCAAAATCTAGGAAATAAATGACATGGCATTCGTAGTAACTATGTGAATGAGCTTGGATTAATTGAAATCAGGAAACTGATGTGCTGTCACCACATTTATTACAAGCCGACGAATTAAATGATACGATCCTTCTGGTTTGTGCAATTACTTTCAATTAAACAGAACAGTTTCGAAGACAGTTTCAGATAAACGTCACGATATTGCATTGATTTATTACTCACCTCATTCCCAGACAGCACTGGATATTCCTAGAATATTTTCTAAATATGCTAAAAGAGAAGAGTCTATTCCGAATATCCACCGAATATTCCTAGACCATGAATGTGTCTCTGGAATATCCGAAGAATATTCAATTTTGAATATTCTAGTTATATCTCAGAATGATATAAAATTTTATTCTCATGTGTTTCAATGAAATATAGTATATATAGTATAAACACCAATCACAATATTATATTTTATAGATGCGAGTATAAAACATTCATTAGGATTAAAATGTGGTAAAAATCTATCGTATCTCAAAGTGGAGTGGTTAGTTACCAGGAATCATGAACACAAAGCAATCACTACAATTTAAATAGGGATCAAATTACTTATCAGATCATCGTACATGTTTCGAGCCCATATAGGCTCATCTTCATTATTATAATAATAATAATAATAAATGCTTTTATTGTCTCAATGAAACAAAAGGCAGAGTTCAACTCGCCGATAAATCGACAGCTGCTCTTCCACTCAACCCTAATACTGGGCAATCTGAAAGTCACAAGTTTGAGCCCATCTTGGGTAACCTTTTTTTAATTACGAATATGTTCAGTGAAATATCCCAGGAATATCCATTTATCAATATAAATGTTTCTAGAATATTGAAGGTACATTCTGAATATATAGGGACTATCCCTTGTGAATATTCTAAGAATATATATACATTCTTCCCCACCAGCATATTCAGGGAATATTCCGTAGAAGCTATGTTTATCCCTGACATGTTCATGAATATCCGAAAATAATATTCTATGGATATTCATGGAATATCTGGTGCTGTCTGGGCTTCAAATACTCACCTACATTTGCGTTATATTTATACTTCTCAACCTGCTCGATACTGATATTATTATCCAAGATCTCCGTGATGAATTTTTCTGGGTTCACGATTTGCTCGAAAACCACATCAGCAACACTCTCTCCCTCGAGGTTCGTAGCTGATAAATCTCCCCCTTTATCGATGAGCATCCTCAGACAGTTCTTGTGACAAAATTGCGCTGCTATGTGAAGCGCAGTTCTCCCATCTTCTTCTGGCCTATTGATAACTTCTGGGGTGCATCTTTGGTCCGCCAGCAGTAAACGTAAGATGTTGCTTCCACCTACAGATTCATCCATTGTACCAGGTGATTCAATAACGGTGACGAGGTACAGTATCTCAGGAACTAATAGTTTATTAAACACGCCTCCAAGCGAGGGCGGTAAGAACTAGAATGGTATGTATGGATCTTTATTCTATTCACCAAACCTTCCTTCCTCGAACCATACCTTTTGTTAGCAATTTATTAGTTCTTGAGATACAGCGTCTCGGTCACCCTTATTGAATCACCTGGTACATCAATATATTTACAACCCACTAACCATGTAATGTTACAAAATGTTGCCACAATATATTGTAAAGCTTCATTTCCTAATATGAGAAAACAATATTGTTTCAATTCTTCTGCTATATTCGTGTTGACAATACAGTATCAGTATCACCGGGAGCTCACTACTGTTGATAAGTGCTATCTGGCTAACATATTCTGAAGATTGTGGCAGTTCCGGTTGTACAGGAAGTAGACCCCAAGTTCGTTATTTTAAATGGGACACCCTGTATATTATCAAGGTTTTAGATTTTACGCATGATTTTAAACATGTCACATGTATAATGTCCTATACCCAAATCTAATCCGTTTTCGAAATATTTCAAATTTTAAGTTGCGTTTGCAGACCGAAAAATATTTTTCTTCATTTCTTGACATACATGATCATGAATTTTCGATTGTGTATCGATTTATTCGTAGGAGAAGACCCAGTTCAGTGGAATTTCGATGTCATTCCGATTACAGTTATAGAGGGCGTTCACCAGAAAATGATACAGATCCGGTTGAAAAAATTATTGCAATTCAATTTTTTAAAATGGAAACCCCCCCCAATTTTATATTCTCATTCGATGTGGCATCGAAAATGAATCTAACTTTGAATAAGGTTATCTATGCCTTCACTCAACATTTTTCGAAATATTGGCGAATTAACATGTTTCAGTTCCAGAAAATCTCCTATTCTTGAGTTTACTCATTCTTAGTTGTCCATGGCGCCCGCAGTTGCGTTGAAAACGATCAACTGCCACAGAAATGTCAATGTGATCAATCATGCCGGCTCGTTTGAATTATTACAGGGTGGTGTAGAATACTCAGTTTCAGTCAGAATTCTACACCACCCTGTATTTGTTTCAACTAAATACGAGTAAATAGTAAATCAAAAGTTAAGACATAGACATGTAAGCCGTTTTGACCAATAATGATTAGTTTCGACACAAAAAACTGAGACATGTTAATTCGCCAATATTTCGAAAACTGTTGAGTGTAGGCATATATGACCTTTCTCAGAGTTACCTTCATTTTCGATGCCGAATCGAATGAGAATATAAAATTGGGGGTTTCCGTTTGGAAAAATTGACTCATTTTCTGGTGAACGCCCTGTATAACTGTAATTGATTTGATATCGAGATTCTACTGAACTGGGTCCTCTCCTACGAATAAATGGATACATAATCGAAAATTAATGATCATGTCCAGAAATAAAAAACAATATTTTTCGGTCTGCAAACGCAGTTTTCAACTTAAAATTTTGAATATTTCGAAAACGGTCAGACTTGGCTATAGGACATTATACATGAAACATGTTCAGAGTCATGCGTAAAACCTTGATAATATACAGGATGTCCCATTCAAAATAACAAAGTTGGGGTCCACTTCCGTTACAACCGGAAGTGCCACAATCTTCAAAATATTTCAGCCGGATAGCACTTATCAACAATAGTGGACTCTCAAATTTTCAAATTCGGCCCACCAATGGTTTTCTATATATTGATCGATGCAGTTCCCATCAGAGGGACTCCCTGTTTAACAGATAAATCTACTGAAAAGTTGTTGTAAGTTACAAAATGATAGTTTCATCTTAGTTTCAATAGCAATATTTTATCATCTTTATATTCTCATTAAAATTACAACATTAGCTGGATTTAAGACGAACAATATCAGTGCAAGGTTACATATAGAACTATCAGTGAATTTTCAATAGTAATGTTGCATCAGAATTGATACTTAATTGAGTTTGTGAATAACATAAGCTTTACTACAAACAATATAGCTAAAACTAATGAGTTGCAACAAATATTTGACTACAAATTGTAATATAGCTGAAATATTCAAAATGATACATTGTGTATCGAGCGAGAGACACTTTTTTATTAAATGCCTACGCGCAGTCGCAAACTTGAATTGGACCAACGCCAGCATCTCAGTCGCCATATTTAATGGTTTTAATAATACCCATCAATAATGTACTTTGGAACAAAAATTAAAGTATAGTGGTGATCTGGCGATAAATGATATTAGTCAGTTGGCAAGGTTGTGGATCGCAGTTAGCAGTTGATGGTTTGGTTAGTCATCAGTTATTCGAGTTTAGGTATACATTTTACAAATTTTTACATCGTTTATTAATCTAAGCGGATCGTTCAATCGACAATAAATAGATTTTAATTATTCGTATACCTACTTATAGTTATAGGACAAATTTGTGAATTCCTTTGAATCTGCAGTCAGAGTGAATCAAAGTGTACCTACTCTCTTGTATCTGTTTGAGCTTTCGTTTTGTGAAATGTTTCAGAATTTCACCCGCTATCGAGACAAGGCTTGTTCCAATTCTATTCATCTAGTTGGGATACCTTTATATATAGATGGTTGAAAGTGAAATGATTTAGGAGGTGACTTCTTGTTATATCCTGAAAATTGGCTCGCATGTATGTTCATGTGTCTGATGTGTATTACCGGTAAAAGCGGAAGTGATTTCAATTGTTTTTCTATAGAAAATATGGGTATTGAGGAACTATATTCTCGAGCGAAATGTCAATGATTTCGGTGTCGCCTGGTATGTTAGCACTTTCATGAATCGTCTCTATGGGATGAATAACCAAGGTATATATAAAAATCGATGAATTCCATCAGGCTCGGAACTTTCTTAATGCCTTTCGCTATCTGGAATCAAAGATCATTCAATAATCCTATACCTATTTCCGCGAGGAGATGGAGTTCATTTCTGTAGGTTGGCCTCAGCCATGCTCCCGCTTTCAGAAGCATCTCTACGGCTTCTGCCCTTTTGTAGAATACTGCGTTGTATAGAGGAGTGAAACCTGTAACAGATCAAACGGATATGTGGGTTAATGATAGAAGGAACATGAATTCGGAAGGCTTCTATCAAGAAACGGTTGTGAAAAGGTTGTTGAAAAGATTTAAGTTTAAGAGATATCTTCCATAATAATCCTGGTGCATGAGAGATAAGAATAGATTACAATTGAATGACGGATTTCAACACTTAGAAATATATGCATGGGGTGATCTCAGGTAGGAGACCATGTTTTCCTCAGAGTGGAATAATATGATCAAAGTGGAACTCTCAATTATGTTGTATTCACAATATTCATTGAGTAAACAGTAGCTACTGAAGGGGCATGTTTCTGGCACTATGGTTCATTATCAGCGTTAGACAAAACAGTTTTACAATACAAAGTCCGAATCAATGGCGTCGAATCCATTTTTCAAAATATTTATCTCGTTTTTTATGCATTTTCATTGAACTATATCAATTCAAAATCCGATTCGAATATGGATGGAATATCATTTTTCGAATTTCAACTCTATAATATAGTCAGAGTAGATGATCCAACGATATATATTCCTGACAGTTCATAATTAATGGTGTGATATTATTGATAAGGATATGGGATGGAACTGATAATTCCTTTGGGTATGCAGTCGAAGTATAACAAAGTGTACTCCACCTGTTCCTGTTCAAGACTTCGTCTATATTGGCTCTTCATCAGAAACTGGAAAATGAGGTTTTATTGAAGCTGATTTTAGTCAAGTGGGAAAGAACATACACAACATGGAAGCATTGATATTTTTGAAGACTAATGAGCAATTGTTATAGTATACTTGAAATTTGTCGAGAAAAATTTCGAAGCATCTCTGCTCGACAATTTCATCCCCAACGTAAACATTTTTCTAATCCTGTCCTCTACTGATAGTTATTTTCCTATAACATGTGCTCAGGCATTTGTTGAGGTAGGTTTAACCCTGCAAAATGGGTTGGGTCTGCTCAGTAAAAACATTATTGTAATGAAATTCCAGATGGATATATATTTTGGGAGCAGACACATCTCATGAATTTGTTCTCATATCGGACTCTCGAAGAGGGCGCTAGAGTTATTGTAAACATAACTTCTTTGAAATCAGATTTTTCTGTCTGAATTTTATGTGACTTCTAACATTATTCAATCCATCACCAAGAAGGTTCTATCGATGAAACTCAATACTGTGTACCGTTCTCGGAATATTGTGATTTGAAAATAATGTAGTAATAGCTAAAGAAAAAAACCTATTGGGATCAATTACATATTTATTCAGATTCGAAAACAATTACATCATTCTTGTGCTGAAGTTATTGATTGAACAAAGAATCACAAGTAGATAATTGGGAAAAATTTCACTAGAAACAGAAAATATTGAATCAGAGTAAATGTTCGAATAGTTTTCACGAATACACGACGATTCTATATTTTTTTCATGAGAATGTATTATCCCCCTAAACGGTTGAGGATCAGCTGTTAGTTCATTTGAGTGATGTTCAATTTTCTCTTGCAACTCTTGATGTGAATTAATACCTCTGTAGCATTAAGTTCAGCATTACAAATGTATTGTTGTATTTGGTCATCAATAAACAGGTAATAGTTTTCCATAACGCTCACTTCAATGAATATCTTTATCTTTGGTAGAAGTCCATATTGTTCAAATTGGAGTGAAATTTTTCAAAGTAATAAGGACGGAATGCTCGAAGTCATGTCGACAAATTTCGATGGTGTTGTTACACAATCAGAAGAGGCCTGTTTCGGTCCTATTGAAGACCATCTCCAGCTAAATGAAAGTTTTGGAGATGAAAAAGTGGGATGCTACTAGTTGTCAAATTGTTGTTGTTTTGCCAATATCTCGAAAACTAGAATTGTTTTTCATGAAATATAATTTTATATAGCGACCCTTTATTCTGATGCTCAATGATATGACAATATAAAGATAGGGGGTCTCCTCGGGAGTTTACGAAAATGACTTTCAACTATTTTTTCAAAGTTATTTCAAATGTTAGTTTTTGATGACCTTGTAATGATTTATGATCAACATATCAAAACAGTATCACTGAAGTAAATCCCGCTTAATGAAGGAAACCAACTCCAATCGAATAATTAGAGATTTCACATAGGATTTCACATAAGAGAAACTGTTTTGGCTTTCAAACGTAATTTTTGAATTAAACTTCCAACTATCGTTATAAAAACACTTGAACATAGATATATACATTAAATGTGTCTAAAGTTCTTCGTAGACTCTGATAATAGATTACTATATAGGATGTCCAATTCATCATGAGCAATCACCTTTTGGTATAACCGAAAGTGCCTCCATCTTGAGAATATTATTTGAACAAAATTGTCCCGATGAACAGCAGTATAGTATATGCCACAAAACTTTCGAATCTGCCATACTTATAGTTTTCGATTTATTGATTGATTCAGTTCCCGGAAGAACATCCTGTATAAACGATTGAAAAAGAACACGTTCATTGTTTCTATAGCTGAATGGAGACTGCGGTAATTCAGGTTCCAGAAACTAAGGACCCTATATTGCAATGTGGCCTATTTTATTATCCATTTTATCCCCTTTCATTAATCCTTGTGCGAATTGGTCTATACCTTGAGCCAGCTTCACCAACAGAAAATCAGGAATCACAAATAAACCAAACCAATTAGGTGTTAAATACAATTAGGGGAAACGTAAGCTACAAGCGATATCTGTCTGAAATTCCCATTTGAAATTTACATTTCTGCTGCAGGTTTTGACTCCATCCTTCCAAGAAAACAATTCAATCATTCTCTGATTCTTTCCAGTCAACTCACATACGTTTCTAGAAAGGAAAGATTTCATTTGATGAATTCTCGTTTGTAATACAGGTTACAGGTACATCTTCTTTAGAATGCAGATTTTAGAAAATTGGTCTGAAATTTTTCGATGAAAAGTGATAGTGAGTTTGGATTTTGGATAAATATGGAAATACTATCACATTCATGACAGTCCCAATCAAAATGAATAATCCTAATTATAAAATGATGGAAATTCTTATTTCAGTCGTTGCCAACCGTCAAAAGCAAACCGATGTCGAGAATATACAGGGTGTTTCTTAAGTACGTGTAGAAAATCCAGGAGCATGTTGCTGACGTCAAAATAAGAAGAAAAGTTCGTATAAATATATGTCCGCAAGTTATTCGTTTCTGAGATACAGAGTGTCAAAGTTGAATTCTTATTTTTGTTTTTTGTTAATAAATTTCAAAATAATTGTGATATCGAAATAAAAATTGGTATCTAGGGGTATTTTTCAATGACAATATCAAATTTTATGTTAGTTTGTCTCTTTCGTAGGGGTTGCGCCACCTACATGTCTTTTGAGTCTTTTGAAAAGTTATAACTTTTTTGTGCGTACCTGTATAACGTTTCATAGTAAAAAAATAGATTTCTAGAACACTTTTGTGTGAAAAATATATTCTTGGTAGGGGCCGCTGCGAGCAACTGTTTTCGAGTTATTGGGATTCGAAATAATCGATGCATTCGAATTATTTCCAAGTCGCCTCTAGTGAATATCAGAAAAGATACGCCAGTGCATTTTTCACCATTCATTCAATATTCTTCCTCATTCAACATTGGAATTTAGGCAAAATATGATTCTTACTTATTTGTACCTTATTTGAACTCTTCCAATACGAATTCAATTTTGACACTCTGTATCTCAGAAACGGATAACTTTCGGACATATGTCTATGAGAACTTTTCTTCCTATTAATACGTCAGCAACATGCTCCTGAATTTTCCACACGTACTTAAGAAACACCCTGTATATTCATTTGTGACGAGAATGTTTGCAGCATGAGCTATAGGTGAGAATAAATTAGCATTTCGAGCGAGTTATCCACCATACTCTTTCACGGTTATACCAGGTAACAGTGAAATTTTTTATTTCGTAGGCTTGTGCAGCCATCTGATTTTCTCTCAAGTGAGTCATTGCTTGGAATTTGACATTTAATGGGTGGTGAGATTTTGGGAAAAAAACACACAGTGAAGTCATTGCCCTAATAACACCCTCATGTCCCATGGATATCCTTAGGACGTCCTGTCGGGACATTCAGGACGTCCATAGGACGTTCGAATTTGGTACCGTGGACGTCCATTGGACGTCTGTGGGACGCACACTTGAGGACCAACTAGGGACGTCCTTGAGGGATGTCCCTGGGACGACTATCGAATACCTAAATCCTACAGTATTCCTCATCAAGCACTACAGAGGACATCCTTAGGACATCCATAGGACAACCTATCAGCAACGCTGAGAGATATCAATTGGATGTCCATAGGATGTCCCAGGGACGTACGAATTATTCTCAAATTTGAATTTTTCTGGGTCCCTCTAGGACCAGATCTTGCATAACTGATTAGGAAATCCAGTTGAGTTGAGAGATAGTGAACATTTGAATATTTAAGATTATAGCCTTACATACCTAATAAGAACGTTGCTGGTTTAGGAGATACAGGGTGTTCTGGGAAGAGACTTCATTTTGAAATTTTTCTATATCAACTTTGTTAGTTGATAGCATGAACATGAAATCTTGTAGTTTCTGATCTTCTGACATGTCACTTATTTTGTGTTTGCTCATAGAGGGCTCTATAATCACACTCTGTTACTCCTGTAAATTACATCATATCTTCTTTGTTCATTCGATGGTGATCAAAATAAGTGAAATGTACTCATTTTCAAAATGTCTAGCTTCAACGGTTTTTTTGTTATTCGCTCTTGAAGAGATTTATGTTCCGTTTATATAACAGTTTAGTAGTTGATGCCTTGGTTAAAAATGAATTTTTATTCAGTACTTTACTAAAGCTGGCGGCCTATTGAAGGAGCATTTCTGTTATATTTCGGTTGAAATAATTATTCACTTTCGAACACCTGAGAATGATTGAAAATCGCCGATTCCTGTCATTTCCTCTGTAATTTTGGATTTTGATTTTATTTCTCTCACTAGCAATTATCAGATATTGGTTGTGAATCAAAGTGATTTTGAAGCGGCTATATATACTTTATTGCTTTTAGTTCATTCTCAAGACAAAACCAATTCAGTGAGCTTTATATCAAATATCAGATGTCTTTTGCCATCACAATATCACTGAAGGAATTCCATTAATTCCAGGAAAAAGATAGAAAATTCCGATTTACAAGGAACTTCGCATCCTGAATCGATATCTTTATGAAATTTGAAGCTCAGAGACTGTAACATTCGTTCGAGATTCCATTCTATACAGATTTTAACCTAAAGAGAGAGAATAGTTCAGAAATGATATATAATATCTTTCACTCTGCAACTATAGTGCATACATACACAAATACGCTTCTTGCACAAGTTTCACACATTCCTTCTACGATCGAATTGAGATTATTTTTATTAATAATTTTATCATAAAATATTCAACAATACAAGAAATATCGATTTATGAAAGTTACTTTTTGCACGATCGTAAAATAGTTATAACCGATAGGCCGCGAAGTGACTTTTTATTGTGTCGAGGTCACCAAAGGGTTTCGCGGCCTAGTATGCACACAATTTTTCGTGCAATCGTCAAAGTTATTCAACTTAATAACTGAGATTTCATTTTGATTGAATACAAAGTATTTTGACAGTTTTTGACAAAACGATAATATGATCTGACCATGATCTAACACATTGAATCACCTTGCTATTGTCGTAGTGTAAGAAAGTAGAAGTGACGTATGGTATAACGGCCATTGCTATGGGTAACGGCTGTGAAGTTGTACTTCGCGTACTGTATATTATAGAGAACGTAGATATTGCACGAGAAATATATTTGTCAAGCGATACTTGAAAATGTGGTATGTCAACAAAACGTCAGTAATGGTCTATAGCCCTATTGGTTTGTACACTGAAAAAAAAAAATGAGTGAAATTTCACTCAAGTTCCACGCAATAATGAGTCAATTTCGGTCCACGCCCGATTGAGTTGAAATTGCACCCTACTCGACTGTGTAAAATGGTAATTCATGAACCGATTCAATCAAATTTTTTATAAACATTCTCATTGATATGAGAACTTGATGAAATATCTAGTTTGAGTTGAGAATTCACTCAAAAATGTCAATCAGTAAATTCACTCACAACCACATATGCATTCACTCAGAGGAATTTTCTACAGTGTAAATACCAAAACCACAGAACTATAACCCAGAGTACACTAAGGTAAAACAAATTCAGCCAGTAATTAAAATATAGTAACTATATACGGCAACAAAAATTAGTACGATAGGGAACAGCAAGGTTATGTTGTTGCTTAAACTAATTTTGATTTTCTGGAAACACCTAGTTGTACCTTCCAAATGGAAAGCTTAGTTGTTTCATTCACAAGGTTTTTGCGGTTACTAATCGCCCTTAGTAAGTAATAATACCATTATATTATAGTCACAATCAGGATACTTAGTTGGGGTAACTACTAAAAGTTAATGTAGCAAATTGATAGTATTTGTACCAAACGAATAAATCGGTTGTCTCAACAAATAATGTAGTTATTATTACAAATAGTTTTCGTTACAATGAATAAATAAATAACGAGTACAAAATGAACATACATAACAGATAATACAAAAAAATAAATTTCTCCATTTGTAACCAATTTAGCCAATTATGTAAACAACGAATATTGATGAATCAGAATGGGGAATATAGGTATCTGTTGTGTCCCGTTTGGAGTATTATGTAGGTAAGCTTATTGCGGAAGCCAACATGCCCATGGTGTTTGGCCTCTAGGTTTCAGACATTTCTAGGAAATGAGCCAAAAATGCTTCTTCTTTATTTGTTGTTTCAACTTTTTCAATATTGCACCATTCAATAAATACCTTGTAGTGCTTCTCATACCTTCCATAAGACTTCGTTGGCAATAACTCATCTGTATCGCATCTGTAGCTTCAAGTTTTTCATCGCAATTCCACTTAATCGAAAATGACAGTAACGCTCTGTCTGTCACTCTGAGAACTACACCAACTAATTTGTGTTTTGATTGACATGACAACAATTGTTTCCCACATCAGATCAATCAAAGGCTATAGGGGGGTTTATATAACAACTATTCTTATTTTTCAATATTTCTTAATTTTCTCAATAAATAGTGCAATTTGATGGATGATTTTGTAAAAACTTACCCTAATAGCACACAACGTCCTAGGGACGTCCCGATTTGGTACAATTCAAGTCCGAATGTCCCGGACCGAAAATAAGTGTCCGTGGGACGTCCCATCCCGTATATCTCATGCAATGTCCGAGCAAGGACGTCCACGGAATGTTCCAGCAGGTACATCATTTCAAATGTCCTAGAAATAGCATCCCTTAGACGTCCCACGTGGTTCATATTATAGAATTTCCATGCAAGGACGTCCTTGGCATGTTCCTGATGGGATATGATTTTGAACGTTCCGTTCGGGACATCCATCGGATGTCCCGAGTAGTACATATTCTGACTTCAGATCTTATCTAATGTCCCTTCTAGACAACCATGAAATATCCCTGATTGTACATTCCTTCAAATATCTCTGCACAGACGCCCTTAATATTTCCAAGATCGTATAACAAGCGAAATGTCCCTTAGGGACATCCTTCGAATGTTCCTTATTGATATCCGTCGGATGTCACAATTGGTACATGAACTGTACTCTTCAAAAGTCCTAGAAATAACGTCCTACGGACGTCCCAGTCGGTATTTTCAATATGTTGTCCCTGCAAGGACGTTGACTTACACCTCGCCGACGAATGATTGCTCGTAGGCTATAAATACTCCCCGTCAATGTCCTTCACGTAAGTCCATTGGACATCCTTGAGAAACTTTCTTAGTATCTATTGGGGACCTTCTACTGACCATCAACTCAACTGGATGTCCTCATCAGTTATGCAAGATCAGGTCCTAGAGGGACCTTGAAAAATTCAAATTCAAGAATAATTCGTACGTCCCTGGGACATCTTATGGACATCCAATTGATATCCCTCAGCGTTGCTGATAGGTTGTCCTACGGAAGTCCTAAGGATGTCCTCCGTAGTGTTTGATGAGGAATACTGTAGGATTTAGGTATTCGATAGTGGTCCCAGGGACATCCCTCAATTATGTCCCCAGTTTGTCCTCAAGTGGAACATCTGTGCGTCCCACAGACGTCCAATGGACGTCCATGGTACATGGTCCAAAGGATATCCATGGGACATAATTGTGTTATTAGGGTACTAAATACTGCAACAAAAAAAACTGAAATTTTCATTTTGTGTCACCTACTACTCATATTTTTCGAGAATATTATATAATTTTTTCCCTCGCACTAGCGTGGAAAAACTTTTCCTGCACTACTGAGGGAAAATGACACTTCCCAAACTAAATTGCGTGCGGGTATAGGGTGGATCACGCACATTTGTCGAAAATGGTATATTGTGCAACAAGTGGGGAAAGTTCACCTCTTCTCACGAGTGTGAAAGTTTGTGGCAGGAGCCTGAAGGGCGAGTGATGCAAACACACGAGTGAGAAAAGTACTTTTCCCCACATCCACTTATCCAAAGAATCCAAGTAATGTTACTTACTGGTATTCATTTTATAATGTGGCACTATGCCACATTGAATATTGTGACCACAGAGTATATAGACGCCTTTCCTAGTTCCTCAAAGTATTTCAAAAAAGTACACTTTCCGAAAAAGATTTTATTTCTGTATTTTTTTTAGATTCCATAAATTTTCCGTATATGCCAATGCATACTTTTTTCTTGAAATTTCCCGAAACAAATCCAATTTTCGCAGCTTTTTCCATTACCTCTGTCTCTGGCGGTGTATTTATCAAAATCGGCACATCTCGGTATATGCATGATATTATTCATTTTATTATGAATTTTTGGAATAATATTTTATGGAAACTGCGATTTCTATCGAAAGCACTAATGAGAACTATACCCTAAAGAATGCAAAAAACTTCTTCTGACAGTTGTGACAACTATTCAAAGCTGAACAGCAGCCAATTAAGTTTGGGTCGATTTTCGTTGATTCTCCATGGAAATGTATGTGGTGTTGGCAAAGTGCCGTGAGGAAAAATATTTCTCACATTATGAGCAATACATGGTTCTGAAACTAAGTAAGCTATGAGAAATGCGTTACCTTTCATAGCAGTAGTAGAAAAAATACTTTTCTCACTCTTCAATTATCCATTATTGGCACTGTGCATGATTTAACAATGTATGTCTCATTTCGGAAATTTCCGGCGATCCCCCCCCCCCCTCCTCTATGGGAAACACTGGAATGGATCCTGGATCATATGCCCTGAAATTATGAACAATCACCTTTATTATAAGCGTTGACGTCTGCTCCTTTCTCTATCAGACTTCCGACAATGGCGGTGTAAACGTCCTTTTGTCCTATGCACGCCGCCAACAACAGCGCCGTATTGCCGCTTGTATCCACCTCGTTGACATCGGATCCATTTTTCAGGCATTCCGAAACGGACGCCAGGTCTCCCCTTCGAACAGCTTCGTGCAGACTGGGGCTCCGCAGCTGAAAATTACGCCGTCGGAGTTTATTGGCCGATTGTCTGATAACAATGCGGATTGTCCCGGAAATATCCGAGATAATCCCCATTGAAATTTTCAGTTTTCATAGAAAGTGGATTCATTATATTCCAGCTATGTTTATGAGCGAATATACGCTGACATCAAAGGATCCTTCGAATTGTTCCGCGTTCCGCTAATTTCATAGAGACAATATTGCCATTTCCTAAACGGTGAAGGAAATTTGGTTCATAGAATCAGACAAATGTTGCATAATTCAGACATCTTCAAAAGGTCATTCTGCAAACTAAAAAATTTCCAGCTGTCGCTGAAATATTTTGAGAAAACCGAAACTCACTGGTTATGTATTCATTCATTTAATATTCGTTAATATCCGAATTGGAAATTTGCGGGACCCTGCATATTTCTCAAGACGTGGAATGGTGCAGAAAATATAGACTTTATTACGATTTCTGTATACATTTGTCTACAAACGTAATATCAATATCTTTATCAATTCATCGAAACATAAGTCATAGGTAGGTAGTTATGCATCATTGCATGGACAGTACCTACAGTGAGGAGATGTGTAATAGCTCAGATAATATGTTCTAAAATTCCCTACACCGGGGGAAATATCTATTAGCTGTTATTTATTTTTACATAAAAATTCAGGAGGATGACTGGATTGGATCTATATGCCAGTATAGTTTTCGTTCCAAAGAAATTGAAGTTGAAAATTTTTTGTATGATCCATATCTTTCTTCCTTGAGATATAAATAATGATAACTAATTCGAAGAAATATTCTCTCAAATTTCCCTTCCATTTTGCCAAAATCGGTATATTGTTATGATCACATTGTGTGATATTCGACAGTTCTTTATCAATCGAGACGATTTTCAAAGTTACTGTGTGTGAAAAACGGTCAACATGAGTTTTCAAAGTTGTGAGCCTCAACTTTAGTTTCATTGATTTTTGGTTGACCAAGACCTTGAGAGATCTTCCTGTGGAAGTTACAACGATGAAACTTCGTATCAGTATTCGATGTGTTCCCCATTGAACGACAACTGCTATGCCTGGATCCAATAGGCTAGTCAATGTTTCGACAAAAAATTGCCTAATAGTCGTTTACGAAATTTTGACAATTTCAACAATCAAAAGTTAGCCTTGAAAATATGAATATCTCAGGTTTGTCTACATTTTCGAATAAAGCTCGTTGAGTACTATATTATGAGATTTCTGTTTTTGGAAATCGGTCAACGAGTTCCAAATTAGGAAGTTGTTGCAGGTTGAACTTGCACACACTGTATATATTGTGTTCAACAAACTCGACTGCCTATTATGAGTGGTTTTTAGATGAAATCGGAACAACTTTTCAGTGTTTTATGATATAATGGTTCATTATGACAATAAATTTAAAAACTATGTGGGAGACATAAGAAGGCGTTCTTCCTTTTTCAATATTATTCGTATCTCTTCATCACATGCAATGAAAGGAGATAGGTATATTCGTATTGCGGGGAAATGTTGGGATTGTTGGGCATTGAGGGGCAATGTTGGGCATTGCGGGGCAATATCGGGCATTGTGGTGTGAAAAAAGCGCAAGGCAGTTTCGGTAGATTGGGGCTTTCATTGACATCTGGTGTACAAAAACTGGCTGAGTACTTACCCCTCGGTTTTTCGTCTATAGGGCGTCAGAACTGCTCGGTTCGGTGCTGAATTCCCCTGCTGAGTTACTTATTTGGAATGCGGTGTATCATTGATTGAGTTCTTGGTTATTTGAATTGATTCATAATACAGAATAGACTGAGGTGTGAATGCGAATGGCAAATATTGTTAGTTATTTTCGCGGTTAAATTCACACCTTTTCATTACGCGAGTTATTAATAGCTCAGGCATTTCGAGAAATTTTGATTAATTATTCCGAAATCCTAATCATCAGTAGAATATTTATTGTCTATATAACAAAGAGGTACTATTCGGATCCGGCAGTGTTTGATTCACAGACTGAAGAAAATTATTATTGAGTGTATAATGAAGAATGTGAGTAAATCTTGAGATAATTGAAGAACTCTTTTAGCACTCTCAATGAAGTATAGGTACTTTTATTAGGATATTTTTCGTATTCATGCATCGGTTATTTATCGGGATTTTCGTGGGTTTTTGTACTTTGTTTGTCTGATAGAAACTTTTCAAGGCAATAACATTATCTGAATTCATGAGAGCAAAACAAAGTTTCAACATTATTCACATTTATTATGAATCGCCCATAACATAAAAATTTCTTGATTTTTCCCTATAGATTGATCACTATTTCGTCAATGAACTTTATGTATACCAGGTTGATGATATAAGGGGCCTGAATGACTGAATCATCCAATATTATATATATTGGCATGTTGTTTGAGTTTGCATGGATTTTGTTTATTATATGTTTGTGCGTTTCCTGAAGCCACAATAAAATAAAATAGGAGAAATGGATAGCTGATTGATTCAATACTACGAAGGCGCTGAAGGGCCACCTATACATTTTTTTTATATCCCGACTTTAAAGTCGGGAGTCCGAGATTGAAGTCGGGGGTCCGAGATTAAAGTCGGGATTCCGAGATTAAAGTCGGGGGTGTGAGATTAAAAACGGGAGTCCGAGATAAAAGTCGGGGGTCCGTGATTAAAGTCGGGGGTCCGAGATTAAAGTCGGGGGTCCGAGATTAGAGTCGGGATTCCGAAACTGATGTTAGGAGCTGAATTATATTCGTTAAATATATGGACAGAAATGAATAATTTCCATTGTTACTCATCAGTTTGACGTCAGCAACATGCTCCTGAATTTTCTACATGTACTTGAGAAACACCCTGTACATTTATGTACAAACAATAATTTTACATCCATTGGATAATCATAAAATCAGGATCAGTAGAAATCCTCCTTTTGGATGTATACTGAATGTCAAATAATGGATCACACTTTTACGATTATTATCGTACGTATAGGGTGATTGTTTATATTTTACTCAATAGCTGAGAATCTCATTGTTGAATAGATACAAAAAAATTGAGAGAATCGGAGTTGTTCATAGTCATATAGAATTTTTTTTTTAGGTAAAATGTCTATATGCCTTTGACATACAAAACATACAGTCGGACCACCGACTTTAATCTCGGGATCTCGACATTAAAGTCGAAGACACTAGGGTTGTTACCTAACCGTGAAAGGTGCAAGGTCAATGTCTGTCATGGTTCACATGTTGATCCTGATCCTAAATCCTGATCCTATTCATGACTTTATTATATTTCTTTTTCAATTTTTACTCATTCCATAGCGGTTTTAGAGGATTCTGAAATTTTATTACTTATTGAAGGACTTCATGGATAAGTCCGAAACGGGTGTTCTCAGACCCATTCTATCATATATCATTGAATTAGTCTTTCTTAGCTCTATCCAAGGATGGAATTGAATACATTCGAAAATTCCGAGAAATTGATCGGTTTGCAAAATACGTCATCACTTTTGTTTAATTCAAATATCCTTAATATTGACAAAATATGAATATAACATATATAATTTGTTAACTCATGATGAAAACTGCGCATTGAAAACTTGATTCTCAACGTTTTCATAAGGCTTTGAAATTTGGCTATTTATTGAAGAAGATTATGGAAATAGTCCTCGAAATTGTCCGAATCGGGTGATCTCATACCTACAAATGTAATCATATATAATTGAACTCATCTTTCTGAGCTCTATCCAAGGACGGAATGACATTCAGGGTATTTCATTTGTGAAAATATATGTTTTGTATGTCAAAGTCATATAGACATTATACCTAAAAAAAAAATTCTATATGACTATGAACAACTCCGATTCTCCCAATTTTTTTGTATTTATTCAACAATGAGATTCTTAGCTATTAAGTGGAATATAAACAATCACCCTATTCGTACGATAATGATCGTACAGGTGTGATCCATTATTTGACATTCAGTTAAGAACAACCTTGACCTTCTACCCTCTGTATCCCCGCTACTTATCCAGATTGGACTCGTGCGTAAGAATATTGCAATCTTAGAACATATTGTTGCATTTTCAACGAATTTAGGTTTTCGAAAGTATATACTTAAAACGGTTCGTTTCTCGAAAAAAATCGACGAGCAAAAGAAGCCTCTAAATTGAACGATCCACACAATTTGATCACTGAAAGATGCCAGAGGCGTACTACGAAAAAGTTTGGAGGGGATAAAGAAGCTTCTACCTCCAAAAACGTATCACCCTGTAGATTTTGAAAATCTTTAAAATGCTTGAAATTATGATCTTCTAGGAAGTATTGACCACACCAAATTTCAAAATTACAAAATTAATAGGAAAAAATAATTAAACATTGACCCCCTGTAGTAGCTCCGCTACTGAACGAGATCGGACTAATGTTTATATGAACTTTTTTGATTAAAATGATGAGATCTATCTCCCATTTCAGTTTGTGCCTTAAAACCAGAATCACCCTGTATAATTATTATTCTTCATCGCCCTCTCACTGCTCAACGGTGCATCTCCGTATAGAGGTAGGTTGATTTCGATCAGTCTTTTTTTGGTGTCTTGTTCTCCTAGTAGTTCATGGTACGTTGTTTTGGGACACTTTGTAAAATAGTGTACTCCTATTTCAAAGAATTCACTGAGTTGCCATGGTAACATTGATTCCATCAATGATATTCCTCACTGCACTCATGATTTATCTCTATCGTGCTTGGGATGTGAAGAGGTATTCACGATGAAATATCAAATATAGCGGTCGTGCATAAAATGTTGTATCTATTTCGTGCGTAACTTGTTTTTATGGACCTTAGCGTGTTACATACCATACGCTACGGTCCATATAAAAGCCTATTTCATGTCCTTAATACGTGAATAACTATCATGTTGGGATTTCGTTACTGTATCCGAAAGTATAGGTACCAGAAGTTTATTTTGCTAGCTAAATAGAACCTGTGATGTTGAATGCCAATGTTTCAAT